ACGGTATTCATAAAAGAAATCCCTTCCCACTACCAAGTCGTTAGATCCGTTTACGCCCTTTGATTTTAATCTGACCTAAATTATAACTCCACAGAAAATAGCCAAACTTATATGCTAACAGGGCCGTTCGCGAGAATATCCAGTTTGCCCACGGTTCGCTTCTCAATTACTTTAAAAAGCTTGACCGCAAAGTTACTACCTTTATTTGCATTCGGCCATATTGTACAATGTTTGTCATAAAAATCCGCATCGGATGTCAATTGACGTTATTTAAGTGACGCTGTGGGTTCGCTCAACCAAAGTCCCCTTGACAATAATAATTTTTTATATTTATTTTGTTTCCCTAGATACCATATGGTAACAGAACCGCTTGACACTCGAAACGGGTAAACAAATATGGATTGCTTTCGGAGATCCATATTTGTAAAACTAAAAAGGGGACTTTCGATGGCAATTTCGGTATATTTAAATTCCTTAATAATTTAAGTGACTAATACAGTCTTCCTGATGAGGTTTAAGTTCAAAAAGTGTTAAAATTAAGGAAAATTTAAAAAGTTTATATAAATTGATAATAATAAAATGTCAAATTTTAGCAATGCACTGCTAAAAGCAAATAAAATTCGTTATTACAGCATCGGCCGCACAGTAATACGAAACAAGACATTTTGATCTATATTTTGCAATATTTCCTATATCATCTTTTAGAAGCAGACAAAAATTGACAGGGTCCTTAGTATTTAACATAAAAAAAACAACAAAAACATTAACTCAAATATAACTGATAATGGTAAGTCACATTTATCATATTCTGAGTACACCTGAAATGTCTAACATCTAAAACTCTTAAAATTTAGCGATATCACTTTTTGAAGATCTTTATATAACAACCCATGCAAATTACTCAAAAACTGTTTGGAAATAGACTATTATAATCGTATAGTTCAAAATTGTTTTTTTCAATAAAAAAATTATAATTAGGGGATACTTACATTATTTTTCTTAATGATTAGATCTATATATAAAAATTCAAAACGTTTGTGATGATGAAAGTACGTATAAAATTTAGCAAAAAATTCATTAACAAAGAACGAGTTAGATTACAAAAATAAAAACTCTTAAAAAACCTCTTTTTTTTTTGTTTTTTTGGTAATATTTTTAACATGATTTTATCTTTTTGAAAACAGCTCATTTTAAGCCATTAAAAGACATTTTTGTTTTCTAAAAATCAGTTTTTGAAAGAGCTGACATATGTTTTTGAAAGTACCAGTTTTAGTCCATTTTCGGCGTAGTTGAAATTGGTTTATATTAAAAACAAAACAGAAACGCAGCGTAAGAGGATAAAAAGAGACTTCAAATGTGCAGCCAATTTTGCTTACCTGTTTCGAGTGACCAGCAAATAATTTGAATCATTTACCTCACCCTCGCAACCAATTACGAATAAAATTAGTTCGAATTCAAAAATACGAGTCGATTTATGAATCGATTTAAAAAAATCTTCACGTGAAGAACCTATTTCCTGCACCAGCGTAATTTTGATTCATGTTGGGTGTCAATGGACTTGCGTTGAAGTATCTCTTTGATTGATGAATTGCGGCACGTCTCATTTAAAGTATTTTTGTGGGCTGCGTTCCCCGAGGTATTCAATGAATAAATTTTTACTCAAATTAAACAGTGCGGTTAAATTAGATTTTTAAAGTGGCCTTCGCTTAATTTCGATGGTACTAATTTATGTTGCCACGCGTTTAATAGAACAGGAGATACCGATCAATTAAGCAAATCCCGTTTAAAGAAAATTGATGCAAAACTTAAGGGTTGAGAGAAAATTTCCAGTTTTTTAACAGCAATTTTTGCATTTTTAAAAATATATTATTTATATTATGTTGTTTTTAAGACGTATTAATTATTCTCAACAAATTGATTGTAGGCACGTAACTTATTATGTCGATAAAAGTCTAAAGAATGAACAAAATGCTAAAGAATAGGTTTTAGGTATTTAATTACAACCATTTGTTATGCAGCTTGCCAATTTTCTGTACAATCTGTACAATATCTCTAATTTTAGTCGAATAGTAGAGGAATAGGAAAAATATTTTGATATTAGTTCGAAAAGGGGATGTAGATTAAAATATTTGGATTGGATAGTATTTTATTGGCAACAGTTGAAAATTTTGATCAATTTGTATACTTAGTTTAGTTTAACATGCACCGCTAGAATTTAAATGTTAAATAATTGGGAAATGATTCTATAAGTATTGTTGAAACAGGACAAAAATGAAGGAAACCGAAAAAGCAAACAGAGGCAAATATCGGTATCGGTACTTGTATACGGTGTATTGAAAAAAGCAAATGCCAGAGGAGAAGTCAATTCAACAGGCAAATAAAATAAAAATGCGCGAAGCAAAAATACGGCCTCCTAAAATGGATATGAATATATTAATGCGCCATTTGTCTGGTTACGAACCATTTGTCCGCTGTATTTGGATACCCATAAACATTATGCAATTATTATAAGAGCAAAAATAAAAAATAACTTCATAGACGTATGCGAGAAACATATCTACACTATACCGTATAGCCAAGTTGAAAATCAATGGTATATGCTTCCTTATCTCCGATCTTGGTACTTTTACTTTCCTTTAGAACCCAATCGCTTTATTGCGCGTTCGTATAGTCCTTTTTTTCGTTTTCCATTTTACATGAGACAAATTTATCTACTACCTCACAACAATATGCTAAAACAAAATAATGTTGCATGAATAATAATATACTATGCGTAAGCAAAAGCGGCGGCGATTCTGTTCTTCTTAAACGATTATTTTCTTATTTTATCTCTAAGGGTATTGTTCTCTTGAAGTCCCTTCGTTCAGCGTTAAACGACAAGACCATACGTTCGGATTTTTTGATAAAACGCCGTCTGTAAGGTTTCGACTCACACAAAAGCGTAAAAATATTACTTTGAAAATAGTAATATCGCGTCGGATATTAATTACATACGCAACACCCGTATTCATTTACAAAATAAAAGGTAAAACAGTAACTGTAACAACGAATCCTGAATAAGCTAAGATTTGTTTCATTATTGTACATTCTAGACGCTTATTCAAGGTATGTAGATCGGCATTTTAGCTGCACTGCCAAACTCAAGGTTGTACTTTACACCCACCAAAGTTTTGTGTTCGCGTACGCTTAACTCCATTAAATACAAACACCAAGATGGTGGAAAAATAATGAGAAAAATATTTCATTAAAGCGTCGTCTTATAATTATAATCATATGAGCCGCATATCAATTGCGCAAATCAAAATTCATGTGACAAGGTTGTTTAAATATCGCTGTCAAATCAATAACAATAAGGAAGAAGATATATTTTGTGGTTGCACTAAGTAAATATATATAGTATTTTTCACGATATTTGATTCCGACTTAAATGACTACGATAAAAGTGCCTGCCTGCATAATTACGCTAGACTGATAATAATTTGCAAATTTGTTAAGTTTATTTACTTGTATTATTACTCGTCGGATGCTATTATAGCAATTAAATCTCCAAGCTCAAATGCCTGGGAATTGGAAATTCAAAAGTATGTGGAGAGGAATTATATACGAGGGCAGCGCCAAAATTTCCCGGCCTGAATACGAAAGAAACAAAGTAGACTAACAATTTTTTATTATTTTTCAAAATAATCCCCTTTAACTTTAATACACTTATTACATCTCTTTATTGACAACTCAATCCCTTTAAAAAAATATCCTTTTGGTTTGTTTGCAAAATGAGCTGAAGAAGTCTTATTTAACTCAATTTCGTCGTTAAACCGCCGTCCACGTAAGTCCTTTTTCAAATATCCAAACAAATAATAGTCGCTGGGGGCCATATCTGGACTATAGGGAGGATGATCTATCTGAACCCACACTCTAAAATGGCAACTTGTGCAACACCAGCAATATGGACAGGTTTTACGTTTTACACGTATGCAATCTTGCAATTGATGAAACGATTTGGCGTAATAATTACCATTGACAGTGGTATTAGTTTCTTTAAAATCTATCAAAATAATTAGTTCACAAAAAATCGTGGCAGACTCTGAATTTTCTTGGAGGTGCTGCACCCTTACGACGCCACTCCATTGATTCTTTTTTCAATAGAGGGTCATAATAGAGAACCATAGTTTCATCTCTCGTCACACAGGCTTCGGTTCCGACCCACAGAGTTCCAAAAAAGACCGCGCACACTCGACACGGCGTTGTTTTTGAATAGCCGAAAGGTTTTTCGGAACTCATATTGCACTAACCTTATGCATACCTAAATGATCATGCAGGATTCGACGAACACTTGTATCAGAAAGTTTAGTAATTTCTGAGATTTCCTCGACCTTTAAATGTCGATCACTCAATACCACCTCTTCCACAATCGCAACAATTTCTTCCGTTATGGCATCCACTGGTCGATCAGTTCTTGAATCATCTTCAAGGGACTCCTGCCCCATTCGAAAACGTTTTGCCCATTCTTTCACTACAGAATACCAAGGAGAACTTTGGCCGTACACACCATCCAGCCTTTCTTTTAGGTGCTAACCCTTCTTTTGTCAAAAACTTTATGACTGCTCTATACTCAATTTGCGTTATTTGCCACATTTTTTCGGACACGTCTTGTTTAAAATGCTGTCAATAAAAAACTATTTGACGCAAGACTTCATTTTTTTTTCGCAGCCTACTAAGATATATATTTAAAAGAAGACAAAGTTTTATCGTGATATTGGAGCTGCATCTATGTCAGGCCGGGAAATTTTGACGCTAACCTGGTATATTGCTGTGATACTTATAGAAAATTTTAAATATTAGTCTGGACTATCTCGCAGCAGCAAAATGGAACTAGTTACATAATAAAGTGTACAAATGTGAATAAGTAACTAGTATTTGCAATATTTGCATTATTTAAGTTTAGTTTATTTCTCTCCTTTATCGACATAAAGCAAAAAAATCATGTTTTATTTCTATTCCAGGATTGGCTTGTGCGGTTTTGACAATCCGATGAGAGACCAGAAAACCGAAGAGTTCAAACGCCATATAGGACACGTAAGTTTCCTTGCTCAGTCGTAATTCAAGTGTGTGCGGCTTAATCGCCATCTTATAAACTTCCCTCCAAAAAAAAAGAAGAGTATCTTGATAGCTAATGTAGGACAGGCTTAAATGTCAACAAGTCTCACACACAATACACACAGGTACACTTGCGTGTCAAGCTACTATATACGCCTTGTATTTAGATAAATTAAAGTCGATTGCAATTATATTTATTAAGTACTTTTGCCTATAATACACAAAGACCATAACACCAGGCGGTGGGTTGCTACCTCAAGGTTGATATACCAACTACTAACCAATTATGAACACACACATCCTTTTGCGAGTCTGGCACAAGTTTGTATACAGGGAGGACTTTCACTAAAAATGTTGTTTTCATCTATGAAATATATCATTACCATAACTCTCAGAAATTTTAACTTACAAGAAACTTCGCATTTCTGCAAAGTCAGACTGTGTTTCTTTATTAAATCTGTGGAAACTTATGTTCTAATAATAATAATAATTGCTTTATTGGTTAACAGAAAACAATCTTTTTACAGATAATATCAAAACGAAAATAATATTTAGTAACCAAATTAACTAAATTTTTCATCATCGATATATCGATTAAGACAGTTCTCAATCGACATTGAGGTTGCACAAAGCTGAAGTGAACCAGACATCAAACATATCTTTCTCAATAGACTCCAATTTGAACAAGCTACATTTATATGGAGTGTTAGTAAGTGGCAAAACTTCAAAGATTTGTCGTTTCTGGATTCGATTTCAATTTTGATGAAATTTGAAGTTAAAAAGAAAATTCGGCATTAACTATATGACGTTATTTTAAGTACCGCTAAAATAACATTTATTAATTTTCTTCGTTTAAAAAAAAAACTTAATCATGACTTAAATATGACTGAGAAAATTCTTCATATAACTATTGTTGAAACTACAATCAATAAACAGGCGACAGAAACAAATATTAAATTTGAAAAACAACAGTAGCCACCGTTATTATTTTGAAAACTGTGGTATAAGTGTGAAAATTTATTTAACGGCAAATAATGTGCCTTTAAGGCGATGTAACTCAGGGAGTGTTTTTGCGCCCTGTATAGACGAGACTGTTTTATTTTTGTGGACTTCAATTTATCAGCCACACTTAATCCTGAATTTTCCATGGCTATTTTATGTAAATATGCGTTGGTTTACAGAATTATTGCCTAAAAGATAAACGATAGCCTTATTCGCGAATAACGAATGTCTGCTCCGTACTATTTGCACTGATTTACCAATGAACGGCATTTATTCTAGTCAACCATTATTTCGACACGAGCATCAAAATAATGCGCGCCCTCGTATTTCAGGGTGTCAAAATAAAAATGGACGACGCTGGGAATATACTTATCAAAAGAGTATCGAAGTGCAACGTGTACATCAAAAATACAGGCCAAGATGACGAAAACGCAATAGGAAACGAAATATTGAATTTGCCAAATTGTGCGTTAGAACCGGAAAAACCCGTCAAACTCTTCGACATGAAAAAGTTCCAATCAAACGTCAACAGGGAACTTAGAAGAGCGTATCCCGATAGAAGAAGATTAGAATGTCAATGTCTTAGTGCGATAGCTTTCGTTAAATCGGAATCCGAACTATTAGAATGTCCTATATGGGTTTTGATAATCAATGTGGTCGCAATGGACATGTTAAAATCTAAACTTCCTCCAGGTAAGTAAAATATTTAATTAACTATAATTTTCATTGCGCTGTGAATATGCGAGCAGCATGTTTACATCGAGACTTTCAAAACATCTGTTGGCAGTGAGTGCATATGCCGGAATTCGCTCTACGTACGTACAAAATCTCGGTATGAAATATAATTATCATCGGTGCTAAGTGGTATAAATAACTAAGCAGTTCATCTCATCAGAGACGTACATATAGTCGGGACGCTGAGGTATATTTTTTATAAGGTGTACCTTTATATTTTTGGAAGCTTTTGAAACCACTTCATTTTCCCCAGAACGTCCGGTTTTTGTTAAATTATTTTCGATTATTTTACGATTACGATTTAGAGTTCATAACTTGGTCACAAATTACAGTTGTATTGTTTTCAAACTACAATTTAGAGAAAATAATGAACTTGCCCAGTTATAAGTAAGTATTTAAGAAATGACCAAACTTAAAACTTTAAAGTTATGATTGCAGAAATTACATTTTTGAAATAAAATATTTATTTAAGAATAAATCATAGACACCCTCATTGTAGAGTTTTAAAAATTGAATTATGAGTTAGTACCGAAAAATTGCAATAAATCTAGGTTTTTTGCAGAGTTCTTAGAAACTGAATTATGGGTAAGATGGAAAAAATGCCATTTCTTTAATAAATTTATCGACAAACCAGAGAGACATTGCTTTAAATTGAGTGATGACTGGATTAAGTGCGGCATTTTTGCAATAAACTCACACCTTCGAAAAAAACAAACATTTTTTATTGATTTTTAAAAATTGAGTTATGGGTAACATGGAAAATTGCGATTCTTCAATAAACTTATCGACTTTTCGACATTACATTACCTAAAACTGAGTTATTACTGGAACAAGTGCGGCATTTTTGCAATAAACTCATAATTTAGGAAAAAACATATACATCTTCTTTATGAGTTATGAGTTAGTGCGGAAAAATGAAATTTTTGCAATAAATTTGACTGACGTTTGGAAAAACCACTATTTTAAAAATTGAGTTATCGATGCAATAAACTGATATTTTCGGGAAAAAAATTGGCCACTTTTATAAATTGTTAACAACGAATTGTTGTGCTATTTTTGGTGTAAACCAATTGGAATAATCAATTCGGTACGATAAAACTTCCTCAGCGCCTTGACTATTATTAAAGAATAATAAATAGTTCCTAAACGGCCCATCATATATGATTATAACAACGGCCTTAAAGACGTATCGTAACAAATTCATTATGATCGCAAATCATATCACACAAAAGAGCGAGCTGTTTAAAATAAGTTTCGTTAGTTTATTTTTTGCAAGGTTGCCGGCACTAAAGAACTACCCGGAGATTTTTTTTTGTATCTTCTCCGGGCTCTGACAGTTGCATACTGTAACTCTACGCGTATACTGTACCATTACAGAAATTTATATGCTGACGTTATTATACAAGGTGAAACAGTTTTGTATGTATTTTGATTGCGTTTGAAACGGGATTTGGATGGCATTTTTTCGTCTGCAAAACTGATTCTCTGTGTATCGCAACTTATCCCTTATACGGTAGTCAAGGAGAACGAAATCTGGACGCCGGCATCGGACCGATTAACCGTATCAAAAGGACGGCATAAATTCCACTTTGTTAGCGTCTGAAAAAGACACGGTTTATGAAAAAATGACGGCGTTGAAAGTCGGTATGTGTTTTGTTACACATTCTAAATTGTAGGTCCGCCTTCTCTTGTCATTGAAATAAAGGATTTCGTTTCGTACCGACTTGAATTAATTAGAACCCGATATGAACAGCTGGTTTTTTGATCTTATTCGGCTGCCGCAATCCGATAATTAGCAACACGCACCCGACCCACCCACTTAAACGGGGTTTGGATTCGAAAAATATTTATTTATCGCGAACCTAATGACTAGGCGCGTTCCTGCGGAAAGATTAAATAAAATGAAAATATCTTCGGCGATTTTAGTTCTTGTGTCCACTAACATTACTGGCAATATTAAATAATATGGTGTAATTATGTTAGTACAATACGCTAAGAATTTGAGAATTATATTACTATGTAATTGCAATCATCAAGGACCCACATTTCTGCGATGTATTGATGTAGAGAATAAGTAAATTTAACGAAAATTGTGGCATTTTTTTTTTCTAATTTTTATTGGCGCTCTAATTGCAGTTCAACGCGTTATGGACATCAAAAACCGCCCCCGTATCCCCATACCCGACGAAGATCCGTACAGCGTAGCCGGAAACGGAAGCGGCTCGTCCGGAAGTTCCGGATTTGCCGGAGGCAACGTAGCAGCGACCAGAGAACAACTTCTCTTGCAGACCCAACAGCACGCGCAAAAACGTAGCGACAAACCACCTAAATTACCGCCCAGAGAAAATATGTACCCTCACGATATACCCAAGGTAAAAAACATACCAATTTGAGATAAAGTTTTAGTCCAATAACCGCGATGTTGCATATAAAAAAAACTAATTTGATCGGATTGATAAGGCACTAAATTTGCTGCTTAAAAAAAAACTATATCAGAACGAGCGCCACTGATCTAAAAACCAAAAGAAAAGTCCCTAGAGAATTGATGTAAAATAAAACGTATAAACTAAAAAATTCCGGTTGACGACACTTCCGATGAAACGGGAACACTGACAGATAACTAACAATATTTTAAAATAAAAATTGTGCCTGTTTTAACAACTCAGTAAATTTTTAGAGAACGATTCGCGTGAATAACCCTCGTACGGGTCGTCAATTCTTTCTAAAGTTTTGCTATTGTCGCGATCCCACTCAATACAAGATCGATCAATCGTTTTTTTGTTTTTATCAATGCGAAACGAGTAAAAAATAACACGGGGTACATGGTTTTTGCATCAAGCTCACTGTCCACGAAAAAAACATTCGCAAAAGTTTCACGTAGGACTTGTCTTATATATAGATACGTCCAGGCTATTTTTAGAAATGTGTAAAGAAGGCAAAACGAAATCAATAGTGGTTGTTATACAGTTAGCCGGCAATAATTAACTACGATAATATCGGTCTCTGTGCGACGTCTATGTAAGTGCGGCTCAACTATTTATGTATGTGTTTATTATGATAGTAGGCGTAACGGTAATGGCCGGTTTTGCATCTATCCGATAAACTTTTAGGTTAACCAAATAAAACCGACTCCACCAGCGTTCAATGGATTTAAAAAACACAAGCGCAAAAAAAACGAGATTGCAGTGTGACCAACTATGAAAAACTCTTTTTTAACTATGCAAAAAAGTTGCAACTCACAAAAAAAATTATCCACAATCAAATTAAGTTATTTTCAATTTCAAGCCCTTCTATCTTATTTCTCTCTTTTTTTATATATTTAATTTTATGTACTCTAACAAAGTTTACCATAATACAACATTGTTCCAGATAGATGGTTGGTAGTGCGTTGTTTAGGATTACAAAAGGTAAACGGTCTAGCGCAACTCAAAAGTGATATGTAAATGATATACAGCGAAACTTAATAAAAAAAAAGGCAAGCAAAGATCAAAACTAAAGGCGTTTGATAAAAACTGCCGGGCATGGGTGTTAAAATAATGTTTTGTCGGCAAACGCAACTAAACAATGCTTTGTATCGTCGAAGATCTACAAAATAATTTTACTTTGTATACATCCACAATAATGTGTTATGTAGGGTTTATGTACCAGTTTTATTTCGCTGCGGCTTGTACTGGAATTTTTTCCATTGGACTTGGAATTGTTTGCACCTTTGCCAAGGTGGTACTTTATTGGTACAACTTATCGGTACCGATTCATACTCCACTGAGTTCGATTTTCTTTCGCCTACGGAGCGTTTCTATTCAATCGGCTCAGTTTGTTTTAAGCGTAAGACTGGTTTATTGCAAAACAACGAAATGCAAAACCGATAGTTCGTATGTATCTCTAAAACCAATATATTGCGAAACAGAAGAAAAATGAACCGTTTTCGGAGAAAAATGCACAGGAATGTGTAACGTTTGTGGCAAATCTTCCTGTGGTGAACATTTTTGCAAAATTCCGCGAGCAGCACACTATTTAATCATCGGACCTTGTATAAAATTAATATAGCAAATTAAGTACACCTCCTGGCACATAATTTTGAATTGACCAACTCATAACTCAAAATAAATGGCACGTACTCGAACGTAGATGATCTCTAATAACCCATATAAATCTTTTACGACCGTTTTTTTTTTATATATTTAGCGATTGATACCGCCGCCCCGATGTATTATAATATACGTACATTAATTATTTATTTCTAGAATTTTGTTTTGAGATGATTTATTGGCGAAAATTGGAGCACCACAAGATCACCTTTGATAAAATAATAAATAAAACGCACGAGACTGACAATGTTCGTTTTTCGATTTTACTACAGGTTAGAAGTGGTGATGAAGGGAGCCCTTATCAAAATCATCTAACATCGAATTCCGAACGCAAAAGCAAAAGTTAAATAACAGTTATCTGAATCTGCATGTTCATAATCATTGTCTTGACTTTTTGCCGTATAAATATTTATGTTTACATTTGGCATTCAAATAACCGCACCAAAAGATGCACGTTGCTATAAATTTCGTCATAATTGCTGGCCGGAGAACTTTTAAACCGTACGGAGCAAAATGCAACGACGAAAAAACTTTCACTGAAAAGCACCAAAATGCGCGACGTTGCCGAAGCATTTTTTTTTAAGTATACAGGCGAGAGATGACTGATCCCAAAATTCGCCGTAGCGTTACGAGTAATTTTTGGCCCATTTGTTAATTCACCGTAAACTACGTGACATCTTTGTTTTTATTCCTTTTTCCATTTCGGTCTAACGAATTTTACTTGGGCGTGTTGCATAATGCACCACAAAAATCCGCCGTGTTGCACTGACATATTTTTTTTCAATTGATCCCATTGCGCAACCACCGGGACAATAAAATAAATAAATGGGATAAATGCAATAAACTGGGTGTTTTTTGTTTTAGCCCGATTACGACCAAGAAGACGGAAGACTAAAGCCTTTCCCGTCGTCCAGAAAGGAAAAATCAAAGGACAATAAAAAATACGGTATAGTCATACCGAAAAAATTCCTTACCAATGTGGAATAATCAAAATATATTTCCAGACGACCCCTATTACTGCGGACTTAGAGCAAGGGTCCCGAATTTCGTAGCCAAATCGAAAGCAAAGGACTCGATCCCGACCAAAAGATTCTCCATAAGCCAGCAACACAATCCACAACAAATACTGATGCATCAACAAATGCCTCACCACGCACCTATGCACCCTCATTCGATGTGGCACGCCAGAAGTTACGAAAGCGGAATAGGTCAGTCACTTCTTGATTTATTATTAATACGCGTCATTTACGCGACATCTTTTTTGTTTTAGATTCGGACGCGATTGAGTCTCCCTATAACCAAATCTACGGTCGTCTTCCGATACCGACCCGGAATTACATTCCAACGCAGCCACGCACTATGTTCATCGGCGAATGGGACTGAAAGATATTAAAAACATCACTCATTTCACGTCCCTGTACGAAGGGCGTCCACTTAAAGTGCCTTCTATATCGTAAACCTTTTGAACTATTTTTAGTTTTATTTTGTTTTTACTGTCATTTCATCTAGCAAAATATAAAAGTATACGGGGCGTCAACGGGATTATTGTCCAAGACGAACATGTATGGTTGCAGAAGATGCCCATTTACGGCAATAATCTCCTTGACACCAGCTATACTACAACTTGTTCATAAATGATATATTTACGTATATTGACAATGTTCGTGGACATATATTTTTGAACACCTCACAATAAAAACATTATATAGAATATGGTGCGTATCATATATGTGTATGTTATAATAACATTGAGGGATGTGATCAGTTCGTAAATTTAAGTTTATGAATACATTATTTATAAGATTTACCGAATATTTTTGTAAAGTAATTTTGTATATTCAAGCGATATTTTTAATTTAAAAAATCTGGTGAAGGACGCGAATAAACACACAAAAAACTATGGCCTATTTTTTGGAAAACCCACCCACCACCCATAAAAACTTTTCATACGAACCCAAGACAAAAAATATTTTATTCGTCCAACTCGGATTTTCAACACAGCCCATTTAAAATCAAAAATCGTTTAAAGCCTGCCATCTATTAAAGCGGTGTAGAACTACCAGGTAGTTAGTGGTCTGTGGTTTCGTCACGAAATGATTAACAAAGCAAGAAAGTTAACCCAACCTTTTCAAGAAGTAAACAGTGATGTTGGTAGGTAAATAACAACATGTAAAAAGCGATAGATAGCTTGCAAATGTTGCAGGAAGTGCAAGATTTTCGAGATTTTTCAATCACATCGTGGTACCAAAAGTTTAAGCCGCTAACTATAACAACGATTATATTAGAACTACCTGATGAATTCAGCAACAAACTGCGTTGTTTTGAAAGAGGTGATGATTCAGAAGAGGAAGGCGACGAAGAAAATTGTCCTCCAGCATTTATAGATGAACTGAAAAATGCGTTGAACATTTTAAATAATAGTGTTTTTATTAAAAATAACTGGCATGCACCAACGGTAATGTAATTTTACTGAAATTAGTTAAACTCCAAACGTCCCCTTTTTTAGGATGCACGAGCATTTAGCTTTGGAAACACTTTAAAAGCATCTAGCATTGATGATATTATCTTGTTTTTTAAAACTTCAGGAATCTTACAAGAAGACTTCTCAAGTGTTAAAGGAGTACCCTTCTGTTTGACCTTAAAGCAATGGGTTAACATACACCCAGCAGCAGAGTTTAGGTGTATTGTAATAAATAATTGCTTAAGAGGAATAACTCCAAGAGACTGGCCCACATACTATCCTCATTTTAAAGAGGAAGGTCATGAAATTATTAAAACTTTAAACAAGTTTTTTACTGAAAATATCAAATTGAAATTTCCTCGGACACATTGTAAGCAGTTTTGTGCCAATTGACCTGTTCAAATAAGGCGTGTTCAATTTTTAGATGTTTTTGACATTGTATTGTCTTACCCAGAAACACCATATATTGTGGACTTCAATCCATTAAATAGCAAGACTAACTTATATGCATTTTCATGGAAGGAAATTGGCCCATTGCTCAACAAAGTAACTTAAATGTCTGACTAGTTCCAACATATAATTTGCTCTAATTTTTAGGAAACTATTGAGGAAGTTGCTCCAGTATTTAGGCATTTAGATTCTGACATTGGCATTATGACTAAAGCAAGTGCATTGATGAAATTACAACAGTCAGATGATTAGTTTTTCTACATTAATATACAATGTACTAAGTTTGAATATAAATATATTCTTTTTATATTCTGCAGTTTTAAATTCATACGTAAGAAAGCTTTTACTTTCGAGCGTTTTAATACATCTCGCAACACTGCATCTTTAAATGGACGTACTTTTATTAACGTATTTTATTTAGTCCTATAAAAGTAATTATAATTAAAGTTGCTCCTTAATATTACACTTTACCAAAACAACTCAATTATTTTGGTAACAATTTATGTATCCAAAAGACTACTAAATAAGCTTCGATTGTGCATTGTGCTTCGGATAATTTTTAAGATATATAAGAATTTGGGAAAATAATAATTGCTTTTAACTTCAAAAGTTCAAATCCAAGGGCGAGATTAAACATCCACAGAATATAAATTACAACAGAAAAATAGTTTATTCTATGATCTTAGTTCAAATCGTAAGGGGTGAGCGTTTGCGTGAAAATATCTGGTGTAAATATGGCGTCGCAGGAGGAAGATAACAAACTAGAGTGTATTTCTCATGTAAACAAAGAACAAGAAATTTACTTCTTAAACGTGTACAAGGTGAAAATTTGAAATTTCGTGTTTTTTTTTTTTTATTAATTTGGTTAATTTTCTGGCATGTTTATGGTGAAAAAGTGTGTAGTTGCCGATTCGCATGGCCGCCATATTCGTGGAGTGAACTCGGTTTAATATCCTAAATTCCCGAGAATTTATGTGTCTACCGAAAAAAAAATCTGTGTGGGAGCGGAGCCGTGTTTTTTCTAGGCTGTGTATTATTAGGACCCTATTTCTAATAAGGACTATTCTTCCAAAAGAGTTTGTTTGTTTTAATTGCTTGATCATCTGGCCCTTCGAACCTCAATACTTAAAGGACATCTACTTTTCCTTCATGCCTCTTTAGGAAAGAATCAGTTGGGTTATAATATGATTTTTATTTTCATGGTGGAAGGATTTTGTCACACTAATCATCTTCAGACCACCTTTTAATACATGGATCGTTTTCTGTCTTTAGTTTTGTATCAGGATATTAAATTTTATGATTAACTGTGTTAATACAACAATCTGTATGTCTTCACCTTTGCTTTGCTTAATCGTGTTTCATCCATGTAAGCTCTTCTTTTGTGGTGCTTCCATAGTTGTTCACCATTTGTGGAAAAAATGGACAAAAATAAAAATACCTATACCATTATTTTACAGAAATACGACACTATTTTAAACGACAAAGCAGAAAATTTTGAAAAAAAAGTTCAAGCACTGATTGATGTATGGAAAAGTATAGCAGAAGCAAAACTAGCTCAGTTTGATTTACGCTATGTTTTACAAATCATAGATTGGGCTAAACTTCACGCGTTAAATATCGTCCTCACAGGAGAATGGAGAAAAACAAAAGGTACTTATTTTGTGTAATTCATGTAGTACACGTAGGTAATTTGTCTGTCACCATTTTATTTTATTGATAAATATTTGGTTAATAATTGAAAATTAAAACTCATTTCCAATGTATGTGAAAAAACTTATACAAAAAAAACATTTAAGAGGATATGCGTTTCAAATTCAAAATAAAAAAGCAAATTAAATGTCACTGACATACCCATCAACAGGAGACATGACAAGTCATTCATTAATACCACAAATTTATATATTATGTATAATTAAAAAAATTAAATCAGCGCAAAAGTTTCCCAGGCAGAATAAAGTGTGTGTCTGTTTTTTATTATATCACATATAGGGTCAGGCCAAAAGACGAATTTGACATCGCAATCCGTTTTTCGTAAAAAAGTAATCCCATATGTTCTCTGCTTAATTTTAATGTGTAGACGATTGACTAAACTTCTGTTACACCTCTTATATTGTCTTTACTTCATATTTCTTTTTTTTTGTGACTAAATTGGCATTAATAAATTTTTAATGTGGCAACTGTAATCACATACGCTGGCTGTTAGCTAATTATTGGGCATTGTCTAGTATGCTTCCCATATGAGGACAGTGTAAAGAAATGCAGTGTCCCTCATAATGTTTGCTACATGTGAAAAAAAAAACTGTAACACCAGTTAATCCTTATAAGTTTCACCTATGACTATAAATCTAGTATTTAACGAAACCTTCTTTTGACGTCCGCAAAAACTGTTTAAAACTGTTCAGGGTTGTTTTAAAACTTTTTTAACAAATGTTAATTTCCCTTTAGCTTGGTTTTCTAAGCAAGGCCTGATCCGCTTACTTTTTAATGTTAGATAGCAAAAAATCATTAGCAGAAATGGCATCATTGCTTTTTCTAAGTTTTGTATAATTTTAAGGACTATTATGAATAAATACTAATAAATACTAAAATTAATCGGCACGGAAATAAACCAGCTCCCTTTTTTAATTGGTGTATTAATTGTTACTACCACCTAGCGTTTTTTCCTTGTTTCAATAGATTGAACTAGATTTAAAAATAATTTTGTGTTATGGAATACAGAAGAGGAATTGACGCAGTAATCCAAAGGAATACTTTAGAAAATAGTCCATCTGCGTGTGTAATTGAGTCTGGTAGTGACACAAATAAATGGCATTTTATAATTAACTTTTAATTTCCCCATTACGAAAAACCATGTAAGCACCAATTTTGTATAACAATTACGTTTTTTAGAAACTTGCGGCAACAGTCTTCTAGAAAATATTGAGAAAGCACAACGTAACCTTCATACTAAAAACGATGCATTTTCATCCCGATGCCAAAAATTAGCTGATGTTGTTAAAAAACCCTGGGAAGATCCAGTTTTGACACATTTACTTCACACCAAAAATGCAGAAATCGGACCTAAAGGTAAAAAAAATAGATCGTGAGTGACCGTCTTGTAAATAATACATTTGACAATTTCAGAAATTGAATTTTTTTGTGTGGAAACAGCTTATCTGGTTTCTGTAAGATTAAAGAAACTTTGTGAGAACCACTGTGAAGATCTCGCCCTTAACTTAGTGACGAACTTTTTAAATTGTAAAAAATTGGCTGCCGATCTGAATTTTACTTTAAATGCCACCGAAACTCAGATATGGTTTATATTTGATATATTTGTTGCGCTGTTATATAAATTTCAAGATAAAACGAAAATTATTCAACAAGTAAGTTTCCTTATATTTTAAAATGCTGATCTAACAAGTAATGTTCCAGTTTGAAGATCTTAAACTTAGCGAAGGAATTCAGTTGATTAAACGTTTTGCCAAAAAGAGAGTAACAATTTCAAAAATATGGAAAAATTGTCACAAAATTGCTATTTTTGGCTGCAGATTCTTCCTCTCAAAGGCTTTAATGAAATATTCAGACGACGTACGCGAATTACTAATAGATCTTATGAAAACTTATATAGTTTTGTCTAATACAGATGTTTTGGTGGAAGAATTTGTGGTGTCTGTGAGAAATATTACCAATTTGGCTGATGCCGCCGGATTGTGCATAATGTGTGAAGTTATTCACAGAGAGGTAACATAGTGAATAACTTTTTACATTTTACATTTTAACATTTAACTGGTAGGGTGGAGAGGGAATTAGACATTTCACAATTGAAATGTATATCCGGGCGTTAACGACTGACATGAATGAACTGGAACGATTAAAACACGTCAACGACCAGGAAAAAGCAGTTTTGACCACCTCAAGATTAGCAAGCACTTTTACAAATCTTGCAGATCTGCTAGATGACTACGTGAAAGTGGCCAGAGAATGCATTTTGACTGCTTTCAGTCTTGAACCTACTCAACAAAGACTAAAACGAATTGAAGATTTAGCCAAGAGAAGTGGCTTTCAAGTTTTGGACACAGGTTAGTGGCAACAACATTTCTAGTGGTTTAATTTCTATCGTATAATGCACATAAAAGTGCGTAAGTTTTCTTTGCCTCTGATTTAACATTAAGAGCGTTATTAATTTCTCAGGATTAATTTCTGGGACTCAGGGTGTGATTCACTGTGAAATTGCTTCAGATATTTTGTTGAAATTAAATGCGTAGATAGAAACAGGTGCAAATTATTTTCCTACTTGCATCAGTGGCGTCTGAATATTTTTATCGAACGAAATTGTAGACTACTGCTTTTTTTTTAAGATAAATAATATTTTTCAAATAGAGAATTCATTTTTTAGTAAAAATGGTCTCGTTAGTTTGTGTAGTCCGACGAAAAGTGTACAGCAAAAAAATTTAAAAGCAGTAAAAATCTTATTTAATCAATAGAGTTCAATTACAAATTTAATAATAATTTACAATTAAATACGGAAAATGGGGCATATGATATGATAAAAAAAGATGGTGGATTTGAAACGTATTTTTGCGAAGAAGTGTATCGCGTTTTGAAAATTTAATTTGTTTTTGAAAAAAACTGAATATTTTCGATAAAAATATTCAGTATCATGAAAAAAAAAATGTTTCTATCATGCATTTCACCGGCCCCTACCAAACAATCCAGAGGAGGCTCAATAAGAACGAGTAAAACCAGTTTTTTTTTTTTGCTTTTTTTCTTAAAATCATCCAAGGAATCACACCCTCAAGGGTGTGATGTAATTTCTTTGTAAACTTATTATTTCTGAACTTTGTTCTATCTCTCATCTCTTTTTTACCTGTTAAAACATAGGGCAAGAATGGAAATGCCGATTACACCCTCCAGTATTACCGTCTGATGACATTGCATGGATATGTCCGGAATGTGGGGATTGGATGTGCAAGCCTGAACTTACAGCACCTTTACAGATGAATATGGCGCTTCATGAGGCATTGCAAGATTCTGTGTTGGGTATTTCGGAAGCCCTTTGTGATGATCTTGTTGTTTGTTTGTCAAATCCTCGTTACCAAATTCTAAGTTGGCTACTGGCCTGGGGTGATTTGTATAGACTGTGTATAATGTATCTTAATGACCCTGAAAAAACCAAAAATTTCATAACGGAATTAAAATTCGTTGATATTGACTACTCCATGTTTGAACATATAAAACGAGAACCAATTGATGAGTACACTGGTATAGAAAAGGGTTATGAACAATATCTTGATCTAAACTTTGTGTCAGATGAAGAAAACTCAAGTGTTAGTGAAGATTCATCATCCCAAGATAGGTCTTTGTGTCTGGGCAGCGATGGAGCGGGCGAACCTTACGTACATATCCCGCAAACCAAGTCTGATCCCAACACATTAAAAAGTCTTCGAATGTTTCGCCCTAATCTAAAACGGAAAAAAGAGGTGGTATCTGAAGTTCCTGAAAAACAGAAAATCTTAGCTAAACCTGCAGGTGGATATTCCAGTTTGAGTAGTTACTTATCTAACCCATTATTTGTAAATAATAATTATCCTGAAGTAGCATCGGCGTGCTTAAATAATTCCTTTGTTAGTACAAATTTCAGTCCGGGTATTGAAACGAAAAAATCGAATAAGGTTAATGTAACCGAAGCAACGCACAATGGCATTAATTTATCAAGATATTCAACAAGTTACACGCCCGCAACTTGTGTTCCGGTCATTAATGTGGCAAATTGTGTGCCTACTTCTGCAGTCAGAAATTATGAAGCTAGAAAAACAAATTTAAACGCACTAGTGTCTGCAGAACAAACTTCTAGTAACATATCGAATGTTTCAGACGCATCTGTACATAGTTTTAACTATCCTATCGAGTCCCGGTCTCCGCTCTATACCTCTACTTATGAGGGCAGCCAGGCCACTAAACCGACGACTACTTTAGCAGTTAATAGTCATATGAAACAAGGTATTTCAAATTGCCGTTCGCCATATAATGAGAATGACTATTTCAACCAAGAAGTGAAATTGATGTCAAATTCGAATAGTCTGAGTAAACTCCCGAGTATTTGCAAGAGCCTTGATCAGTCAGTCCCAAATCCTATCATATCTCAAAATGTAAATATTTTGAAACGGGTTTTCGCAAGCCGCAGTAATAGGTTGGATTCAAATTCCCATTCAATTATTGCACCGACTATTATTGATATAACAGACGATGATGATGAAATAGACTACCGTTCGACGGCTTCATCCAGTGCCTTTGAAGGGCGAGCTCAATCTAGTGAACAAGAAGTTGATATGTTCGGCAATGTAATCAAAGATGAAGATGTCGATCCAAAAAACGTAACAGCTGCCACGTTGCTCCAACTTGGTGGGCAAGTGGCAAAGAACCTCAACCAAATAATCCAAGTTCCACAATCTTGCAACCAACACACAGAGGACAGTACGACAATGAAAAGTACATGGCAGCTAAAGAAGTCCTCACACAATGGTATATTAGAAAATTACAGCAACAGCACGGGCTTAATCAAGAGAAAGCAACTGGAGCGACCAACGCAAGAGAAGAATGTAGAAACTCCATTGAAGACAAAAGAAGCAATATCTCAAATGCAAGGAACATGTCGAGTCAATTTAATTCCATTACCTTATCTGGATCAAATAGATCAGGGGCGCAGAATGCAATCAACCCAGCCACAAAAAAGGGAAAATTACATGGCACCAATAAAGAAACCAAGTCCAGTATTCCCAAACAACCAATATCAAGTAACTCCAGGTGTGTCACTGTATCCTCAGAAAACCTTGGCCAAAGAGCAGTGGGAAGCGGAAAAAACACAACTGGAGGATTTAACGTGGCAAATCAACAATATATTAACTTTAAGCCAATCGGTGAACAAGACCCAAAACCAATCAAATCCAACATGTTGTTCGGTTGTAACGCCATCAGTTTGCTTGAGCAAATTAAAGCAAGAAGCCTCAATATCTCAAGAGTTGTCGATTCAGACCAGTTCAGCGTTAAATCAGGTGGAATCGAATCGACCGAACCAGTTAGCAAAAGAAAATTCTCTTTGTTCCGAATTAGTCACACAAACGAACCGTCATCTGGCGAAGGAAAGAATACCACACTTGAAAATAGTGGAACAGGCAGCACTGTCAGTTCAGGAAGTGGAGCTAGCAGTCTACCAACCACAGAAGGAGCAGCTGGACCAACAGCTTTATCAAGCTCCAAACAGGGAGAGAATTTTGCAAGAAGAATTAACAACAATAGTAATGGAGATGGAAAAAGAATCTTATTGGAAATCAATGTACCCAACGGAACGCCCAGTAAGATGCAATACGTCAAAACGGAAACCAATAACAGTGATGTCGAGTTTAAACCCCGAGCAAAAATTGGAGAGGGAAAAACAAGAATGTCCGGATTGGGACAAATTATTCAATCAAAAAGCGGTAGTATTATTAAAACCACTTCCTATCACCCCCAGTTTAAAGAAAAAGCTAAAACAACTGAAGAACGATTATGTCAGTGGAAAATACAAAAAATTGTCAAAGAAAAGAACAATACCACAGAACAAATCGCAAAAAGAATTGGTGGTAATATTGGAGAAGCTTCAGATGGAAATAAAACTTCCACCAATGAAAATATTGCATGTGAATTTAAACCCAATCAACCTTTGCTCAATGAAACTTTGTTTGGAAGCAAATCAGGTGCAGCCCAAACAAATGCCTCAAATAAACAAACAAGATGCAATGGTGAAAGCATCAGCGCAGACCGAATCGGAACCGATAGTGGTGGCAGAATACCATCAAACTTTCGAAAAGTGCTCTCGATTAACATTAGGGTCGTTAATGGGGTGCCAGCAAACGCAAGACCAAAAAAAATCAACAACGGAAATTACGTTATTAGAAACATTCCCAGAATTGAAGTTATACCAGCTAGTGGAGCATACCCAAATGAAATTCAGTCAATGCAGCCTGATGGATCAGATGTTGGAAGTATCAAACGAAGCGATGTCACACAAACAATCTGTTCTTCAACACGAACCACCGCCAATATTAATGGATTGCCTTCCAACTTCTCCAATAGAAACGACAGTCATGAAAATAGAACATCCCCAAGCAGTATCCTGTCAATCAAGTGTCATGAATCAGGAACCATCCAAACAAATGCAAGACCCAAAGATTCATCAGCAGGAACAGGAGCGAGCCACTGCGGACAGCAAGCTGGAATGTTTTCCAGTTTCTCAATTAGAAACTATCATCTCTCACATGGGATTAAATCAGCAGACAGAGGCTCCTGTATTAGACTGCAGTCTGTACAATCTGGAACAACAGATATCGTGCCAATCGCAGCAGGAGAAACTAACATCAGTGAAAAACAGGAATGAGGAGCCTCAAACACGATTAGATCAACATCACACAGAGGTGCCACAGCAAGAGAAACAGAAATCAATAATGCACGTTAAAGAGACGGAACAGCAGGAGACACAGGCATCAACAGCAACACAAAATCCTATTAAGTGTGTTGGTCCTTCGAAATTGGAAACAATATCAAAAATCGAACAAGATCAGCAAAATAATCTAATGGAAAAGACTGACAGACAGTCCCAACAAGTCGCGACAGAAGAAGTTTTTCAGTCAAAGAAATTGGTACTAGAGGAGCAGAAACTGGAATCAACTAAGAATCAAAGTACTATGGAATGCAGTTCAGCTTTGGAATTGGATACAATATCGAAAATAGATTTAGATCTACAAAACAACCAAGTGGAAACAATTAAATCCAAAGAAATTTCAATAGTAGAAAAGGAAAATACCACAGAACCGTTGAAAGAGCAGACTATGTTGGTTACACAGAAATGTCTTCCAGTTTCACCAACTGAAATAAATATCATAAAGGAGAAACCGCGAATAAAAGTTATAGAGACAGAAAACGCAGAGGGTGAACGGGATGAATCAGCACAACAGGAGCAGGAGTCTACGGCAGAGGCCAACATAAACATAATGAAAAGTCTAAGTTCGCAGCTAGAAATATTATTACAATTAGATGTAGATCAACTAAAGAAGCATCGGGATACAGAAATTCATTTCAAAGAATTGCCAAAAATAGAAAACTCAAATAAACAAGAACTAATAGCAACAGAATGTACGACGGAGTGTCTTCCAACTGTTCAATTAGAAACAATAACGCGCAAAAATGACAGTTCACAAGTTGATTTTAAGCTAGTTGATCGGGCAGAACAAATTTTGGAATTGACGCCAGAACCGAAACTACAGACCACTGTCGTAAGAACAGAATTGGAACACCAAGTGGAGTCTTCCTCAAGGGAACTCAAATTCTTAGAAGTAGCAAAGGACCCTTTAGAAAATCCAGAGCCACACCAGATGAAAGAATTAGAAAAACAACTAAATCAGAAAGAAAGAATAGGGGGAAATAGCAAGGACTATTTGCAGCCATTTAAATTATTTGAGGCTGAAATGCGAACTAGTTGCGAAAAAACAGATTTAAAAATTGCTTCAAATGCGTTAAGCCAACAAATAGAGCCTCCTAACCTCTTGAGTATGGACTCCCCTTTGGACTTATCAATAAGTGGAAATGTACCTGGGATTTATACAAATCTACTCACGAAGTCAGATACAACAGAACACACTGACTTTAAATTAAAAGATACTGTCGTAATACCTTGGGAGACTAGCCAAAGTGTTGAAGAGGAGGTAAAATTAATGGATCGAGTAGAACACAGTACTGAGATGGAAATGCTTCAGACTGTAGATCTCGAGAATATATGTGAAAAATCTGAAAGTCGGTCGAATGAAATTGGTGACGAAATTGCTACTTCTTTGTCCATAACAGATTCCAATATTGACATCCAGAGGGCAGATTGTTGCATTTCAGCGAAATTGGAAAATGCAATTAATAAATTAGATGATATTATTGAAGATTTAGTGACAGTAGCAGAAAATTCTCTGAGTTTTACAATGGATAAAAAAGAGGAATCATCAGGGTCCCAAAATGATATTGACAATGTATTGCCAGCAGCAGAGAACATGATGGACGGTTGTCAATTGGATACAGAAGAAAAATCAGCTAGTACGCAGAATGATCTTCCAGTGCAAGAACCAGACGTTATTAATTTGGATGCCTATCTTACGCAGATAAAAAAATCTTCAGAAACAACGCTAAAAGATATATACAAATCGGTACCCATTGAAAGAGAATGCAATATAGTAACACCTTCAAAATATGGGGAATACCGCCATGTAACATTGTGGCACGATTATTGCCAATTTCCAAATCATGTAGACCAGGAAGAATTTGCTGACTCGCATGATTTTGGAATGGCCGAAAACATTAATGAAGATTCAGGCAAGTGCTTGACGTTTAGTGATCTTTATGGTGAAATGGAAATTAATATGTTTGAAAGCACGAACAAGGAAAATATTGACTGGTCTGACATTGCAACTAGTGCTGGTTTGAAAAAGGAAGACGATCTAACACAATTATTAGATTCAAGAATTGAAATTGGAAACAAATATAAAAAAGTCTACATTAGTAAATATTCACCAAAATCTTTCAACTCATCAAAAAATATTCGAAAATATTTTAACACTCATAAAACAAGCCACTCAAATGTTCCATGTTTCAAAATGGATAGCCTCTGTAAGTTAAAAGTAAAAAATGCAAATACTAAGCAAGAAACTTGTGGAAACAACAGTTTAAATTGTAACGTCTCTGATAAAAAACAATTTGAAGTTAATCGAAATTCATTACCTACAAGCCCAAACGCCATTCGATTGTATAAACGAAAGGCAATGGCTGATATTAGGAAATTACAAAAAATTCTTGAATGGAAACAAAAAGAACGAGAAAAAGCAGATATACGGGGAGGCTTCGAGTTTATCATGATGAAATACAAGTCCGATAATGACGAAAAAGCCACTAAGGTGCTACCTCTTTCCGACAGAAATACTAAAAATTGTTCAAAGAAAAATACCAAAACTTTTAAAAAGGGGTTAAAATTGACGAAAAAGAAAGTGAAGAGGAAACGAATTGGAACTCACGAGTCCCGTATTTCTTTAAAGAAGCCCTATAAGAGAAGGATTGGGTCACCTGCATCCCAACCTAGAGTAGTTCTTGAAAAACTTGCTCTGAGTGATAGGAATTTTGCACGTTCAGTTTTAAAAAACGTACCGGGACTGAATGACTACAGTCATATAACCCCCACAAATGTAAATCCCATTGTAAATGTTGTGCAAATTTCGGGAAATAGACCTCCAAATGCAACAACTCAGAACACACAAACTAGCACCCAAGTCACGCCACACATTCAGAGGGTTGGTCAACCACGAAGTGTTGAACCTAAACCAGAATCCTCAAATGAAAATTTAACATTGCCGCCCAATTCTACCCCAACATCTGCTCTGGGGACTACTAAGCCAACTACTTCACAGTCCTCCACGTTGATTAATATTTTAAGTCAGCAAATCCGACCGGGTCAAAACGCTGTTAGGACCAGACCAGCTCCTTTTATAAATATTCTATCACAGCAAATTATTACCCCTGGTCAGAGTCCCCAAATAATTAAGAAAAGTGTGCCAAATAGTATTACTGCTACATGCGACACTAACAATCAGGTAGGTTCTGTTCTGCATTTCAAAAATCTTGACCCTAACTTGCTTTATGTTTTAGAATTCCGCAGTTAAAGCCGAATCTACTAGTGAGGAAATTCCTCACATTCAGACCCCTACAACGAACACTAAACCAACTACTACTACTCCAAAAACCACAACCACAACAACACAATTATCAACAAGTACAACTCCAACAAATCAGGGTGGTACTATTTTGCAGTTTATCTGCAAATCATCGTTACCTAAATTCCAACAGGCTTTCGGTCGCACAGTATATCAGAGTCAGAATGTTGGACCTGAAACTGCAGAGGCCCCGCAGATACCAATTGCTGAAGTATCTAATACTGTTGCGCCTGTAACGTCAGTCGCACCTGCCACAGTGGAAGCCAAAAAAGTGGCTGCAACCAAAGCTGTACCAATCAATGTCCAACCATTACAGGGCAACGTCATATATAGAGGTCAAATGCCTGTAGGACAAACCATAAGTTTAATTCCACCAGGCAGTACAACGCGGCAGTTATTCCGCATAACGGGATCCACTCACGAACAAATCAGTTTGGTAAAGGAAACAGTTATTCAAAATAAAATGAGCGCTTTACTTGCGGCCGCACTCCAAGGGAAACCTAAAGTGTCCGAACAAAATGGGGAAGTTGTTGAGGAATATTCAGCTACAAGGATAACACTTTGCAGACCATCTGGGGTGCCAAATGCTAGGATTGTTAAACCTGTCCAACTTCAAATTCCTGCAAATGTTATTCGTAATCCCCAGCCCAATATGAGTTCGACAACTTTGGAACAACTTAGAGAATTTGACATGGTATATAAACAAGTCAAAGAACGCAGTAGTAGTTCTACACAACCGGAAAGCACCAACACTAATGTAGAAAGTGGAGATTCACCTCAGCAGCAAAGAATAAGTTTTACATATGTAAACCAAGTGCAAAAGTATACCCAACTCTCTCCTGTGGTGGTTGTGTCTAGTTATAGTAACTTGCAACCGGCTGTTTCGCCTGCCATTTGTGTCACTTCTCAGGGCAGTTCCAGTCCTTCGGTAAGCCCCGCTTCAACGTCGACCTTACCGAAAATTGCTTCAAAAACTTCAAAAGGCAAGACTCTTAAAAGCGCTACTACTAATCCGGTCCCCAAAGCCGCACCGACAATCCCGAAACCTCAGCAGAAACCTCAAGAAGATGAACACACCACACAAAGAATATTTGATATTTTAGCGGAATATGCTGAACAACTTCGAAATTCACCAGATTTGAATAACAAACCAGCTCCTAGGAGGCGTTCTAATCCACCTACAAATCCAACTTCTAATTCAAAACGTAAGAAGAGTTCTGGCTCTAAGAAACAAGGCAATAATTCCATTGAAACTGACAATGAAGATTTGACTATGGGCAGTGAAGATAGTTCTGGTGGAAACATTGTGCAGCTCTCGGTTACCGATGATGAACACTCCCAGGCAACTAGCGTAACACCTCCAGAAAGCAATTCTGAAAATTCCTCCAGTTCAAGACCGTTAATTGTCACAGATGCAACAAATCAACCCAGAAACGTGATTATAGCGGATTCCAGTGTCGGCGAAGCCTTGAAAATGTCTAACACTGCTCTTATTGTTCCCGGAAGTTACCTGATGCCGGTTTCTATGGTAAAAGGTAGCCAACAAATTGTTGTATCAGGAGGGAATAAGATTCTAACTACAGTACCCGCTAGATCTGGTCAGAATATGCTCTTGTTTCAAAGTTTCTTAAATCAGAACAAAAAAGGTCCAATATCAGCGGTTAAGTATTCAACAATTCAACCGATATCCGGAATTGCTTCGCAAAATATTGGCAGCGTTACCGCACAACAACCAGTGGTAATACCGTCGAATACTGTTGCAACTGCTGTGGCATTAGCCCAACCGATCACGTTGAAAAAAATCGATGATAGTGACAGGATTAATACCGAACTATTATTAACTATTTCTCCATCAAAGGAAAACATAGCAAGAGTAGATAAACAGTCAGAAGTGGCCCAACCGGATAGCAGCACTAATCTCTCCAACGACAGTGTTGAAATTAAAATTGATGAAATAGCTCAATCGCATGGAGATGGAGATGACAAGATTTTTAATAGTTTTCCAAAAACCAGTTCACTTGCTACCTCGGTCATTGCATCATGCATTAAAGAAGAACTGAACGACAACGCTTCAGAGACTGTCATACCTGCCGTTCGACTTGAAACATCTGAAGTCAAAGGTAGTTTGTTTCTGTAGGGACTGCTACCTCGAGAATACTTAGTTCCATATTTTTTTTAGCTGATGAAACCTCAAAATCGGTAGAACGAATGCAATCAGTTTTAGTAAATGCGTCGACGTCTAATGGACCCATGTTGTCTCACACAAATTCTAGATACAGAAAAGCGTCAGACCCGGTTGAATCCACGATCACTTCCAGCAAAGAATTAATAAATCGAGAAAAGGTAAAAACGATGTTTTCTTTGGTTTTGGGGTGAGGCAAACGTTAATTGACGTTCTTATGTTTTCAGACAACCATAAATGAACCGAAAATCTACAAGAATAACGCCGTATACTACGCAATTAGAACAAAAAAGAATGTAGTTAACCCGGCCAGTAAAAAATTGGAGAGTGAATTACAAAAACAAGCTGCTATTGAACGGGAACTTCGTTTGCAGAAATCTTTATCTGAAGAATGCGAGGATTTAGGTGTAGATGAACCAAGCACAAGTGATTTATTTCCCGAAGCAGACTTGCTTTTTGATTCGAATCATTCACCTTCTTATGACCAGACTGTACAAGATATTAAGAAAAGTTCTCATATGACTGAAAGCAAGACTGAAAAAACTAGTATGAACTTATTTAGTGATGATGAAAATTCAGGCCCTTTGAGAACAGATCTTTTTGATTATGTTGAATACCACACTGTAGAGACTGCCATAGATTACCCTTCGAGTCAGTTGATGAACGGCAATAATACAAGCAATGAATCCGCATCTTCTTCTGAGGACAACACTTTACTTGCTTCTTGTGGGACTATATCGGAAGTAACGTTAAATTCGCCAATATCGCCAGACGTCTACGGCGACAACACTCAACCAGCGCTAAATAAATATAAATACAAATATACGAATCGGAAAAAAAGCGAGCGCATCAGACAGACGGAGAACTGGTCCAGAGGCGAAGTTACCAGCACCGGTGATAATGGCGATGAGGCTTCGTACGTTGGCAGCGAACAGATTACAAGTGAGCCGATTAAAGTGGTTCGCGTTGCCATATCCAAAGCGGATTCGAAAGAAGGGCAATCGTGCCAGCTGCATTGCAGCACCGTAGAAGATAATAAAAGAGGTGCGAGAAGAAGTACAAAAAGGGCATGTTCATGTTGTAATGGCTCGAAATCTTCTGGCTTATCGAGTGTCAGAAAGAGACCACCCACTACACGACCACAGACACCAGCTAATAAAAAGGCCTTTACCAGCAAAAAAAGATAGTGCCTCTATAGTTGATAAAACATAGAACGGTTGACTTTTAAAATTGATTTCTGCGTGTTAGGTGCGTAAGGGCAATTCTATACAAAATGCTTTAAAACGGTACTTGTAGGGGCGACGTGGCCTCTCATTGATTTTTTTTCTTTAAGTATAACGACAGGTAAATTTAAATCTCAGTTTGACTACGACAGGTTGACCTGCTTACCGGGCAATCAATTATTTAAGTCAATCGCGCTACAACTTCGAATTGTTACTTGTTTCTTTGTTAACTAGTCGAACTAAAGAGTGGCTGCACTCTAGTACAAATTAAGCATGGTAAAAATAGGCTCCTTTAGTAAGATTTATAAACGTGCATTTATTTCGAAATTATGGTTATTATGTGGCGAATCAAGCCATCGATGGCATGTATGCCATCGTAACGTCATACCTAATTCAAAAAAATAACTAACATTTGATGTGGGTGCGCTTAACTTATGTTTAAACCAAAATTCATATTCGTCAAATGCCTTAACTTTTATGGCATTCGATGGGAGTTCAAAAATTCATGAACACACCCCCATTCTTCAGATTTGGAATTTAGTTCGCAACAAATATTACAAACAAAAAAAAACATTAAAAAGCAAGAACTAAGGAATTCCTGCTATGCTGTGACCTTTTTGCTGTTCGCCGCGTTTGTGAGTGCATATTAAAAAATTTTGCCACATGAGCCTATGGGTGTCTAAAAACAGAAGAAGTCGTAATTGCTACGTTTGCAATCTTTTAGTACCTCTCATTGTACATTTTTCTCGTGTATGTAAATTATTTAAATTATATGTGCAGTTTGTCGTTGTATATAAAAATAATTGAATGATGAATCAAACCAATATAGCCATGGTGGATATTATCTACCTGTCTAAAGCAGTCCAGCGCTGTTTTTGAAATGCAATAAGTTACACTTAAGTGTTAATTTCTTTAATACAACTTGTACTATTTAGTGTTTCACTTTATGTTGTTTCTTTTTGTTATATTTATTTGTGATAGATTAGTAAAATTTTAGTTGTGATGTTTTTTTCCTTTCATGGATTATTCGCTAGTTTAAATTAATTGAGTGAATAAAGATTTCTCAGATAGCGGAGATATATGGCACAATGTATTAGTTAATTATTACTGCAAAATTCCCGTTTTCAGGTTTCGTTTGATAAAAATTAATTGTCCATTACGTATTAGTAATAATTGTAGCGAGTTTTTGAAAAAAACGGCTATTTGTTAACCAAAATTTATGGATTTGTTACTAAGTAAGGCGTTTTACTTAAAAGTATTAGGGTTACTTTGAATAAAAGCTAAAAGTATTAGTCACTTTCCATTTCAAAATGACTTATTCTGTATTATACTTATAGTTGTATACTCAGTTCAATGTAATGTATACAGATTCCAAATTATATTTATATAAGACAGAATTTGTATGTTTTTTTTAATTGCAGTATTTTTTCCAAATAAATGTTCTTAAGAAAACCTTTTTGTAATTGATATTGGAAGTGCCAAATTTTTTACTTACTATCGATTTTTATACCCAAAAAAGTTGTAAGATATTATTCACTATGTACTTCCTAGTCAATAGTGTTTGAAATTTTTATTAATCACTTGTTAGTTTTCTTTTACAAGCTTAAAACTGAAACTGAATGTTAGACAATTTCGTGTGTTTTAAATTCAAATTGGGCGTTAATAAGATACAGTGTGATTACTACGTATGTTTTTTGTTATTAAAAAGTTCACAAAAAATTCTGAATGATCTAAAATCTGAAATAAAGCAGCAATATGTCAGACTGTTTCGGTGTTATACGAAAATTCTGTCTTATCCCCCTCTCCAGGAGAATTAAAATATAACGTACGTCTGGGAATTATTTTACAAATAAATCCGACAGGTACACACTTTTTATTCGAAAGAAATTTCCCGATAGTAAAAAAACTTCTGGCTGTTTAAATTTTTTATTTTATTAGACTGCGATTTTAGATGTGCAGAATTTTTTAAAAATAATTTTCCGGACGTCCGCAATTAATAAGCTGAGATTTTCCGCCACTTCTTTTATGGATTTTTGCGTGGTAACATTTAATTGTTTTTTTTTTAAGTCGTAATTCTTGTATAGTGCACATACGTCATGTATATAGATGAAGAAATGGCGAGCGTGGACTGTCGATATTTGGGAAGGGTATAAAAATTTGTTCGTAACGTGAGAAAACATTAGAGAGCAATTTACGGATATTTATTATTTTGAACAAACACTAAGGATGAGATATCTCGATTTATGAAGCAATGGACAAATTAATTTAATACTTATACAATATATTATAGTGATTAATGCTCAAAAACGAAGTTTTTTTCACCTTACTAACAAATATTTTCGAATTCGTAGATCGGATGTCATCAAAATTGCCAAGCGACTATTATAAAACGTTCGGAGAATCCGCTATAGTTAATTATCGCGTACCGTAAGAAATATTTGACTTTAATATTGTATTGAAAAAATTCGGTTGGCAATTTTGTCGATATCTGGCGTACAATTTGACGGTGCTTCGACTGTTATTGGTTAATGGAGATGGAAGAACGGGTTTTATTCGAAATCTTTGATAACATTCTTTACTAGTGTAGAAATTAAAAGAATCTTTAAAATAAAATTATATTAAAATGTGTTCCTTTTTAATTATTTTTACAAAATAAAAAAATCCAAATGGCCACCGAATGTTGGTTTTAATCTATGGAATTTTGAGAACCTATCTATGATGGAGGTAAAAAAAAACTGAAACCCGTCAACGTCTTAATAATAATTTACGAGAAACGCCGCCTACTCTGTAAATCATGAAATAATTAAAGATGGGTCATAGGTTCCCAATAAGAATTCTTGACTCATTGGCGCAGTAAAAACGCTGAAAAATAAAGTTTTATCTAAATTCGAAGTCGAAGGAGATCTAAATGTAGTTAATTGTAATACTAATCTCAACAATAATTGTATAAGATAAGTTGATAAGGCCAACAAAGCGTTTTTCCATCGTTTTTGAAATATCTATATCATTCGGAGTAATTAAAACTAACTGGTAGCGTTATTGTTCATCGATAGAAAATTCGGTCACTATAAACGATAACCTTTATACAACTTCCAATGAATTTCTTGGAGATGATGCCTTTAAGAACCGAACTGAATTGCTTTTGATATTGTTTTCGTGAGTCCTGGTAGCCGGGATCAGTTAATTCATTCCGCAATTTAGCTAGTTAAAGTTTTATTAGTCAAAGCGCAGTGCTTCAGGATTGTCCCACAAACGTTTTTTTTTTGCTGTGGCTTACTATTATGTGATTTTTGTTTCTTTCACCTTTCCTTCAATAATGGTGAGTGTACCAAAAGATTTTAAATTTTTAAAAAGGCGTACCAACACGCGGCTAGGTATATGGTCGATTATTATTAAATTTAAAGTGCCAGCTAATTTAATAAATGTCAGACCTATTAGCCGGTATACAGCTTTCTATCTTAAAACCTAATTAACAAAAATTTGACGAAGTTTTATCACTTAAAATATATACCAGCCGTTGTATCTCCTTGTACCTAATCAGTAGATTAGTAATAATTCCTCCCGTGTTTACAAAAATATTTAAAGGTAGTGATTTCAGTTGTGAAAAAGTGTCACGAAATATGGAATATGGAATTTTATTCTGGCTATTATTGTTTCTGCACTGGACGGATACGAAAATTTGCAAACAAGAGAAAAAATGCCAGGTGACTCGCGTTTATGGACTTAAGACGGCAGATTGTTATAAAATGGACATGAAAGAATTTCCCAAATGTTTAGCTTCTGACATTGAGGTAATTAAGAATACAGTCAAGCAAAATTAGGTACATGATAAATATGCGTGCCGATTTTCAAAAGTAGAATGCTTGCGATTGATCAACCCATGTTTATTGTTCTCACCAGGGACACGAATATCTAAATCAATTGAACTTGCGCTATTCAAATACCTATTCAAAACGTTAAACGGCAAATTCTATTCTAGAGACAAAATTTTATTTGCGAAAATGAAGTGTAAATATTTTTAAAACTATAAAAAACGTTATTAATAAATTTCCAGTATCTTCAGTCGCTTTCGAAAAATTAAAAAATACTAATATCTAAAAATGTATATGACTAACAAATTAAAAATTAGATTAGGAAAAAAATTATACCATTGTATTATTTGCTGTACTTTTTATTTATAGGTAATCGAGTTGTCGTACAACAGAATAAGAAAATTGAACAAAGGTGATTTAAGCAACTATGGATACGTGAAACATCTGTACTTAACGGACAATTTGATCATGAACTTGGAAGGCGAATGTTTCAAAGATCTTAATTATTTAGAGACGTTAGACCTGTCCCTTAATGCCATTAGGAACGTTCCGCCCGCCATTTTCCAACTGCCATCTTTGAAAACGCTTTACTTAAGCCAGAATTTGAATATAAATATTGCCGAAACAATTGAAAAGGCCAAACCTATATCTAGTCCATTGAGCAAACTGGATTTTAGTTTTATTACAGAACGGGAAGACATTGTGGACTTTCCAGATTTTGGGGAAATGCCATTTCTAGCTTTTCTCAATATTACCGGTGACTTTTTGCTATCTTTAGTCCCAGCGTAGATCTATAATTTCGAATATATTTTAGGAAATCATTTTTCTTACATCTCGCCGCGACATTTTGCCGGAATGTGTAATTTGCAAATATTAGCCAATGAAAACGTTACCAACGAATTTGAAGACAACTGCGATTGTTGGCGCATTAACAATTGGTTGCTTACAAAAAATGTAAAATTTACTTTATTTCCTTGCGTAATTTCAGCAGAAGGTAAATATTCAAAACTATTTTAAAATATTAATACTGCTCCAAATTTTCTACATCCTAATTTTTCAACCGGATAGTTTTAAAATTTTCATAGTTTCAATTTTCATTTTCAAGCCATTCTATACTTTTTTTTTTCAAAAAAGACGAATATAATTTAATAGGCATTTTTTTCCAAATTTGACAACCGCTACACTTGTAATAACAAAATGTATAAAATACCATAAATAAACTAATGAAAGTAGCAAATCTTTTAAAGAAACTTCGACAGGCTACTATTTACAAAACGTCTGGATTCTTCTGGTTGTTCTTTTGCTGATATTATATAGAAGAACTAACCTCCATGTTTATAATAACAAAATGTACATAATACCATAAATAAATTAATGAAAGTAGCTAATTTTTAAAAGAAACTTCCCGTGTAGTACCATTAACAAAACGTCCACAGGATGTTTGGCAAACAGAAATCCAGAAAATTATAAACAAAAGCAAATGAGTTGAAATATGCATAATAAATACTAAGGCTCAATAATTTTGTTTTGGTATGTGTTTTTATTTATGCTTGCGAGATGTAGCTAGTGTTTGGAAGAAAATGCTTAATAAACTTTTGCCTATTTTAATAAAAAAAAAATAGAAATGAAAATGAAATTTTGACAACTGGTCCCAGAATACCGTGCTCGTATTATAGTTTTTAAAAACATCGCACTATATATCACGGTATGACTCCAAAATTATTTGCTACACACACCTTACAAACCAGAACCAAAAAACACTTTTGTTCATATTCTAATAGGATTTTAATTAATTAATTAGTAAGGTGTTTATAATGTTCTAGTATAGGCATATATCATGCGTATTCGAGCTTTTCCAAAAAATTATCGGCGATATACCTATGAGTGTTCCCCAAACGGTGCAAAATATTCTTGATATTCTGGCAATGCGTTTAGACTAAGAAACTAACTTTGTATCCATTTTAGAGTGTTTGGATCATGAGTTAAGCAATGAAGATGAGGAACTACACAAAAATTGCCTGTTGAAATTGAAAGATATCGAAAAGACCGCCTTAATGAGTAAAATAGGTATTGGAATCGGTTCTTGCATTGGAATTGTTTTGCTTGTTCTTTTGCTGATATTCTATAGAAGTTTAAAGCGGAAATACATGGACAATCGTAAGTCAAAAGTAAGCTGTCAACTTTCTGAAACAGCAAAACCGTTAAATACTGAACCTAAATTGTAAAAATATTGGAAGATTTATTCGCAAATTGTGATATTATGCTAAGTAGAGTATAGAATTTATAATATTTGTTGTGTTCAAAAATACTAATTATATGTATATGTTAATTGAAGTATTTAATTTTTATAATAAGTGATTTGCTTTTATTAAGTTTTTATAACTTACGTGTATTTTTATTTTTCATAAATTCCATACAAATTTTTTATTTGTTTATTAATTATCTTATGGGGTAAAATGTTACCAGCGTTTCTAATTTTTCAATAAAATTTGAAAATTAAAATTTGGATTAATTTAATCCATGGCACACATCTCTAGTTTTAGCTCACCGTCCTTTATCCTATTCGCGTGGCAAACTTACCCACCAATCAAACAACCAGTATAAGTATTGTTGAGAACCAGATACTTCTATTTCACGTAGTAGCTGGCTAATAATAGTTTCTTTATAAATAAAGTCAGAAAATGAAGAATATGAAAACATTTTATACATTTTCAGGTTGAATGAAAACATTTTAATCTGTTTTATAAAGAAAATAATATTTGTTTGGGATAATATACAGACATACGACTGCGTATTATCAATGATATTCCGTCCAATGTTAAAATGCCTGAAATACAATCTTATCACCTATGTATAACACTATAAAATATTTATAATATTCTATGATTTTCAAAAACAGTGGCCAGTATCCATAGCGACTATGTTTTTTTTATATCGTGCCAGTATCAGTGCAGTGAGTAAACTTGACAACGTTGGTTGTGTGGGCTAACCAATAAAAACACACCACGAAATTTCATGTTGGCGGAAGGCAAGAGGCTTATTTTTATACCGGTTGTGTTTTAAGAGTTTTTCAGTTAAGTTCAGAAATTTGTCGAAATTATTCGTTAAAGGGTCGGAGCTTTCCTAAACACAACAAACATGATCCGATTTATTGGTAAGTTTATTTCTTAAAATAAAAACAAATGCCAAAGCAATGTTCATTAAATCCCAGGTTTTATCTTACTTGTAAGCAACTGTTTCGCCTTGTACCCAACACGAGGAAATGTTATCGAACTCACCCCAAATAATTTTGATTCGTCAGTAATCAAAAGCGATGAAATTTGGATTGTGGAATTTTTTGCTCCCTGGTGTGGGCACTGTCAGAATCTTGTTCCTGAGTATACCAAAGCAGCTAATGCATTAAAGGTAAGAAAAACGTATCTTTTTTTTGTTTGCGTAAAATATTTTTTAGTATGGAATGCCAAGCATAATGGTTTGATGCTAATTTATACACATTTTTTAAATAGGGTGTTGTGAAAGTTGGGGCTGTAAATGCAGATGAACATAAAGAACTGGGGGGAAGGTATGGAGTTAGAGGTTTCCCAACAATCAAAATATTTGGAGCCAATAAAAATAAACCAGAAGACTTTAATGGAGCAAGAACAGCAGAAGGTATTGTTCAAGCAGCACTTGCAGCAGCAAAAGCTAAAGTAAAAGCAGCTTTGGGTGGGAGTAGCGGATCTTCTGGAGGCTCATCTGATGTGAGTTTGACAAAATTTCCCATATGCCATCGTTTGAGATATTATTTTTTAGAATGGCAACAGTGATGATGTGATTGAACTGACTGATAGCAATTTTGATAAGTTGGTTCTACAGTCAGATGACATGTGGCTTGTTGAGTTCTTTGCTCCATGGTGTGGTCATTGCAAAAATTTAGCACCACACTGGGCAAAAGCTGCAACAGAACTAAAGGGAAAAGTTAAACTTGGAGCCCTCGATGCAACAACTCATTCTGCAAAAGCATCTCAATATGGCGTTCAAGGTTATCCCACAATCAAATTCTTTCCCCCTGGACCTAAAAGTGCGGATGCAGCCGAAGAATATGATGGTGGACGTACTTCAAGTGACATTGTAACTTGGGCTCTTGAAAAACTAGCAGAAAGCATTCCAGCCCCTGAGGTACAACAAATAACAAATAACGCACTGTTCAAGGATTCTTGTGAAGAGAAACCATTATGTGTAGTAGCTGTGCTTCCACATATCTTGGATTGTCAATCCCAGTGCAGGAATGATTATATTAAACTATTAACTGAATTAGGAGACAAATTCAAAAAGAAGATGTGGGGATGGGCATGGTCAGAAGCTGGTGCACAACCTGAATTAGAAAATGCGGTCGACATTGGCGGCTTTGGATATCCTGCTATGGCTGTTATCAACACAAAGAAAATGAAATATTCGATACTAAGAGGGTCCTTTTCAAAAGATGGCATCTATGAATTTTTAAGGTATTTAAAATGCAAGTGTAGAATGATGACCATACTCATATATTTTTTGATAGGGATCTCTCATATGGAAAGGGTAATACAGCTCCAGTGAAAGGTCAAGAGATTCCAAAAATTGCCTCCATTGAACCATGGGACGGTAAAGATGGTGAGCTTCCTGTAGAAGAAGATATTGATCTCTCTGACGTAGAATTAGATGGGAAAGATGAACTGTGAAATCCAAAAGACTTACTAGATACTTGTATGTAAATTATTTCATTATTTGTAAATTTAACAAAATCATGGAAACTAGACTTACCCAATAACTTAGTTTTTCTAAGTGTAAAAATTCATATTTGTTAATAAATTTTTTTTATAAATAATATATATACACCAAATTTGTTATTTACTGGACTTTATGGACCTGGGGTGAATGGGTTCTCATAATTATAAAAATAAAATAATAAAATATTTTATTAAAAATACGTCATCTCATATTCGCGTAAAAAAAAACTAATCTACACCTATGTAAGTATATCACATTTCAGTTTCAGTAATCATCAACAATGTTTTTGACACTCGAACATATATTCAATTCATTATGGCAGTTTAAACTCTAATGGATGAAAAATGGACATGACTCTTCATATCTGATAATGATTTGTACATAAAAAAATGAAAAGTTGACAAACAATTCCAATCTTATACTTGCGATGTATGGTCCATCATTTTTGTATAATTATTTTCACAAAACGCCATTTGGCATACAAAGAAGCAATTAGTTCCATAGCATATAGCTGCTAAGACCATAACGCTGAATACTATAATAACCACAGCTTTCCAGTGGGTTGCTTCATTTCTCAAGCTGTATTCTGCAAAAAATAAACGTAAATTTGTTTAAACAAGACAAATATAGTTTCTTCTTTTTTTTTTTTTTGCTAACAAAGATTTTTATTGGTATTTACTACAATAAAATTATATCGCGTTACAGTTTTAAATGGTAAGATTATTACTTTATTAATGGTATTTGCAAGGATTTAAAGTTATAACAACAAATCTTAAAACGACACTCTGAAGTTTCACACTATATATTATACTACCAGTTAAGCCTTGAAGCTATCAATGACAATTGAATCAGTTTAAAAATGTAACGTAATGTAACAAGGGTTTTTTAAATGAATAAACGGCATTTATTTAACTCAATCGCGGTGTTGCGTGTTATTTATTATTAGACATCTAATATGTATGTATATTTATATAAATGATTGGATTTTCCACTATTAATCTTGGTTTTAACGGCAGTAATCTACAAAGGAAATGATTGACCAAACAATTACACATCAAGTTTTAACAAATTTTGGTAAATTTGTAAAAAAACAGTATTTTAAATGTGATAAAATAAGCATTGTGATATATGCGTGGCGTTTAAAATTCATGCTGTACTGATTATTCTTCTAAAGTTGCGCCATTTAAAAATGCAAATTTTAGCTTAAATTATAATTATACAATAATTTTAATAAATAAAACCATAACGTCAAACTTACCTCCTTTATTGGAGCCATAATTATTTCTTGAATTTCGCCCCTGTTGATAGCTTTCGCAAGGAAACAGTAACAACACTCCTGAAATGAATTACAATTCTAAACTAGATCAACCTGTTGAATAAGCGGCAAATAAAATACAAATTTACTTACCAGCGAATAAAATGAAACTTTTCAGACCAGAAACCATTTTGAAAGCCCGTTTTTATGTCATATAAATTTTAAAAAATCAGTTTGAACGCAAATGCGTTAAACGTTGATATGTGTATACTTGCTGAAATGGTACGTGAACCCTATGCTCGCCGGATGTGCTTAATGTTTTGTATTGGAATGAAAAGAATGCAAGATCAAACCTATAGACCCACTGCGACATCTATGGTAACTCATCCATACCAATGCTTTAAATGTTGAAATATGATGACTAGGGGTAATCAGTAAATCGTGGACTCGCAGATGATGTTTTATATTAAAATTAAAAGAATTTATTAATAAGTTCTTTTAGAAGCGGTATAAGGGAGAGTTCTGAGCTATCGACCATGGTATTACGTCTGGGGACCGTCGGCGACATCTACAATTATTTATCTATACTAAGAAAAAAAATCTTCCAGAAAGCTAATTCTTTTTTTATACTAAAGTCAACTACCTTGAACTTGCTGGTACTGACATCTAGACTGCTTATTTCTGAAAACGGTCATTACCATAGTAACCACTAACAACAACACCATAACTGATTCCACTGAAGTTGAAAATGTTTCTATACTTAAGCAAAAAGGTTTCAGTCATAAGAATGAGAAATATTCAACACACTAAATTAAAATATTTTTAGATTGCAATACCTAACAATACTAAAATACACGCTTTAGACTGGAATAAACAAGACGGGTACATAGCAGTTGGTGGAGAGAATGGACTTTTAAAAGTATTGAAACTTGATTCTGGTGAATATAATTCTACTTAATGAATCCACAAAGGCAACGAATAAACATTTACAGGCAATGAGGCTAATACTAAAGTTCGAAAACTGGCAACCACCAGCAACCTTTCCATGAATCAAACTTTGGAAGGTCACTCTGAAACGATAAAGGTGCTTACATGGAATGAGCCTCATAAAAAGCTTACAACCAGTGACTCAAATGGAGTTATTATAGTATGGATGTTATATAAGGGTGCTTGGTATGAGGAAATGATTAATAATAGAAAGAAGTCAACAGTGGTTGGAATGACATGGAGCAGTGATGGTCAAAAAATATGTATTATCTATGAGGACGGCGCTATTATTGTCGGATGCGTGGGGGGTAACAGAATATGGGGTAAAGAACTGAAGCATGTTGCCCTTTGTGGTGTCCAGTGGTCTCCTGATGGAAAATTACTATTGTTTGCATTAAAAAATGGCCAGCTTCATCTTTATGATAATCAGGGCAATTTTGTGGTAAGATCTGTAACGCCTCGTGATAATATCTGTCATGAGCGCGATTATTTTGGCAGATGAAATTGGCTATTTTATGTCACGACATGACCTACGACCCAATTCCCATTGTAGGACTTGCTTGGTACAACGGAGTGAATGGATTCATTCACGGAATGTGTCCTAATTTAGCTATTTGCTTTGAAAATGGCAAGACCCAGTTAATGCGAAATGAAAGTGACACAAGTATAGGACTTCATTATTTTGTTTATTTGTGCTAGTTTATTTATCTTTAAAGGTCCCATTGTAGTGGATACAAAAATGTTTGCGGTTCATTGCAGTTGGAATCATAACGGTTCATTGCTGGCAATATCCGGTAAACAATTTGCGGAAGAAAGGGAGGTGAATTTGGTCCAGTTTTACAATCCATTTGGCGACGTACGTTATTAATGTCTTAAAATGGTAATTTGAAATTATGTTTAAATGTTACTTTAGCATTTGCGAACACTTAAAGTTCCCGGTTCATCAATTTCTTGCTGTGTGTGGGAGGGAGGTTCCTTGAGGGTGGCATTGGCGGTTGATTCTTTCGTTTACTTCGCCAATATACGCCCCGATTATAAATGGTGCTATTTTAAGAGGACTGTTGTTTTTACCTCATGCAAACCTGGTCGGGCAGGAGTTTGTCTTTCCTTCTGGGATACTACTAATAATTTGGTAACGCGAGTTATCTAATTTGCGTGTATAATTTTAACGGAAAATTGCAGTGCCACGCGAGATGGGTGAACGCATTATTAGCTATAGCAGCTCATGGCGATTATTGTATTATAGCTACCCAGTCAGAGACCGAGAGTGTCGGAAAATACGGACTTCTTTTGTATAACACTCTAGGCACCCCTGTTGATGGTTTGTATAATAAGGAATCAAAACACAGATATTATTTTTGCGGCTTGATTATAGGTAAATATATAAATATAGAACCGTTGGGGGTAACGATGAATTCGTATCAGGTGTTCGCCGCATCCAAAGATAATTTTATAGTATGGCATTACAAGACGCCAAAATCAATAACAGTGGGTGCAGCGAGATCAAAGATGTTCCATATAGATGATAGTTCGTCTGGAGCGGTGGAAATTATTCAAGAGCTCGACAGTACTAGCAAAATACCAGTGAGCAGTCATCCGACAGTTGACCCGATATGTTGCTTAACAGCCACAGATGCTTGCCTAATTATAGGAAGAGAGTCTGGTCTGGTACATTATTACGTTTTACCGCATATTGTTTTAACAAATCGTTATAAAATACCAACCCGGCCTCACAAGCTGGCTGTTAACTCCAACTCCACGTTCGTAAAAATGCATCTTTTGGGGTCATTTAGTTTTTTTTATATGTTATTTTAGGAGATTGTCGATAATAGACGTCTCTGGTGTTATGACGGTATTAGATATATCTGAAGGATCTGGAAAGCCATCCAGCAGTAGTGAAGCAAATAAGCTTGAACGCAAAGATGTATGGGCTATGTGCTGGGCATCAGACAATCCACAGTTGTTAGCTATTATGGAAAAAACCCGCATGTACATATTCAAAGGGATTTATCCAGAAGAGCCTGTGGCCTGTTCTGGATACATATGTAGCTTTAATGTAATGCCTCATGTATGGTTACTATTGAAATGATTCCTCAATTTTTTAGGATTTAGAAGTGGAAGCAGTGCTTTTAGATGAACTGATAGACAATCCGGAGAAACCCAGCAAAGATTACCTAATAAAATTAGAAGTTAAAAGTCTTAGAGACACAAGACAGCTTCTGGAAAAAGTTGGTATCAACGAAGCCGCGCAATTTGTTGAAGACAATCGACACCCCAGACTTTGGTGGGTATAAAAAATTACCAAGTGTTACGCGTCAATAATCAAATTGTTGTATAGGAGATTGATAGCTGAGGCTGCTTTGAAGGAAATGAATTTAAACATGGCCGATGCGTGTTTTGTAAGGTCAAGAGATTATTCAAAAGTTCTTTTCGTTAAGAAACTCAGAGAAATAAACAACGAAGCGATACGAAAGGCAAGGGTTGCGACATACTTTCGAAATTTTGATGAAGCTGAAAAAATATACTTTGAAGCTGACAGAAGGTAAAATTTATCCTGATCATAAAAAAACTTTTCTAATTTTTGTTTTCCAGTGACTTGGCGTTAAATCTACGCCAAACATTAGGCGATTGGTTTCGCGTGATCCAAATAATAAAAAATGGAGTTAGTGCCCCAGATTATCTTTTAAAAACAGCCTACAATTCAACTGCGGATTATTTTGCGCATTTTAACAATTGGTGAATACATATTTCCAGTTGCTTCAAATTGTATTCTAAAATTCTTGCAGGACATCGGCCATCGAATACTACGAATTGGCTAAAAATACAGCAAAGATTATCGACTGCTATTTTCATATGGAAGACTGGAAAAATTTAGAAAATTTGGTTGATCAACTGTCAGAAGGAGATCCTTTGCTAGAAAAAATTGCAGATATATTTGCAGCTAACGCCGTTCATGCTGAAGCTGTTAAAGCTTATATTAAGGTATGATTTTCTTGATTTAAGATCAAATGGCAAAAGTACTTTTTAGGTTGGCAAAGTAAAATCGGCCATCGATTTGTGCATTTTGCATAACAGATGGGACGCGGCTATAGAGTTAGCAAAAAAATTTAACATTTCCAAAATTTCCGACTTACTAGTTAAGTACACCGATCATTTGATTAGTCAAAAACAGGTGATGACAGCAATTGAAATCAACGTCCAGGCCAAATATTATTTACGAGCGGCGGAACATGCTTTCAATGTAAGTTTTAAAAATAATGAAATTATTAAATCATACATGTTTTATCAGCTTGCAGCATTAGAAGCCAGAAAGTCAGATCGAAATCTGTTGAGAATCAAGAAATTTTACGTATACACAGCTCGCCTAGTAGAAATGCATAAAAGTTTTTCTCAAGCAAGTACGAAATATATTTTTTATTTAGGGCTGCTTTTAGGTTTGCCTAGAAAGGTGGTTCTATAACTTTGTTCTCATAAAAAAGTTATTAAAAAATTATTATAAAGCCCAATTCCTTTTACCTACCTCTCCTACCTACCTACCAATCACTCTACCATTTTAACATTTGCATTGGATTTATATATGTGTTTCTTTAAGGCGATTTGCAGTCATATGATCCATTGATTTGTGAAACCGCATGGAAGGGTGCCGAGGCCTATCATTACTACATGTTGGCCCAAAGCCAGTTATACAATGGAAAATTGCACGACGCTCTTTGCATATCATATAAATTGCAAGATTACGTCGACTTCATATCAGAAGAAGAGGTGTACTCGTTATTAGCACTTGCAGCGTGCCTCGATAGGTCATTTGCTATTTGCTCCAAAGCTCTAATGAAATTAAAAACCCTTAAAAATGTAACGCCTTCTGACGAAATACAATACAAAAAGCTCGCCTGGGATATTTTCAGACAAAACGAGCCGGTCAATGTTAAAAAGAAGATGATAAAGTGCGATAATTGCGAAACTTCAATCCAAGATTGGTAGGTATAAGTAATGTTTTAGGAAAAAAAAAAAACAAAATAATTTCGGTTTTAGGAACACAGTTTGCTCAAATTGTAAGATTCATTTCCCCACGTGTGTAGTGACGGGAATTTCGATAGTCGGAACGCCTATGTGGTTTTGCAAAACATGCAAACACCCTGCGTCCCAAAGGAAAATTGAATTTCTCAATTCTTGTCCCCTGTGTCACGCAAAATATGACCACCAATCATAAAATCTCCAAATAGGTTATTTATGTTTCTTTGAATAAATGAACTCTCATCTTTTGAAGTCATTTTATTTAAACAATAACCATAGAAAAATATCGTTTGAAATGCATTTTCGTATGGAGAATTATATTAATTGAAAAATAACTAGGAAGAAAATGGAGGGATTGCGCTGAATAAAAAATATTCTTGAGTAATTACCGTAAGCAATTTGCGGGATAAAAATAATTTAATAATTATTGCCAACATTTGTGCCAGTTCAAATCAAAAATTCGCTACGAAATAAATTATCCAGCACATCCCAAAGCAAAAACCAGACTACCAACAATATGAGAACTAATATGGTTAAATGCAACTTATTAGGAACAAATTATAACCTGGAACCTATTCTTACGCGCTCAGCTCTTTTTGAAAAAATGTCGTCAATGTTACTGAAGACATTTTTAGCAGCTTGTGCAGCATCGATGCGGTGGTGGATGCCCCTAATTTGATAATAATCAACTAGAGGTTTCGTCTGGTTATGATAGGTAGTTAACCGCTTTTTTAGAGCTTCTACATTGTCATCTGAACGTCTTATTAGGGGCTCGCCAGTTACGTCATCTGTCATGGTCTTTTTCGGGGGCGCAAATTCCTCATGATAGGAACGACCGCTTGGGGGGTGAATTAAACGACCTGTTATCCGACGATAGAGCAAGTTATCATCGATAGCGAACTCTATTACTGCGTCTAGTTGGGTATTTCTCTTGTCCAACAGATCATCTAACTATAAATCAAGGGGCAATGTATGCACCTTATATTATGTAACACAATAATACTAAATACAATTATATAATACTATACTAATACTAATTCAATCCTAAATATTACCACCACTTACTTTCTCTGCTTGTACCACAGTACGAGGAAATCCATCAAGAAGAAACCCATTCGAACATTCTGGTTTATCTAGATTTTTGTCAATCATGTTTACAACAAGATCGTCGCTGACAAGCTTTCCTTCGTCCATGACCTTTTTCAGCTCGCTGCCTAAATCGGAACCCGATTGAATTTCAGCTCTAAGCATATCCCCAGTGGATAGATGACACACACAAAACTTTTCTTTCAACCAATTGGCCTAAAAACAGCTCGAAATAGGAGCTCTTTAACCTCCAAATTATTCTTACCATCGTTCCTTTTCCCGAGCCGGGAGGACCAAGCAGCACTGCCTTAACTCCCGGCGTGGAGCTTTGCCCCAAATCATGTTCTGGGACCACTTTTTGCGCAGCTAAGGGTGCCATTGTTGATGCGATTAATCAAAGTTGCGGTTAAAACCTACAAAATGGAAAATGTTATATAATAAAAACGCGATAAGGTTTAATCGGCACTTTTTCCAATTAAAATTCGATTCCAAAACCAAATATGCACAGATCAGAACATAGAAAGGACTATACATAGATAAGACTTATGAGGGAAATCCGAATATTTATCGATCCTCATAGGAACTTCACATTGTATTCACAGCATTTGTATTGCTAATAAATCGCGTGGGATACAAAACAGAGTTAGTTTATTTGGAGCGTGTAACGCGGAGGGCTTAATAGAAGGAGACAAAAGAAAATTTCAAAATGAGTCGCCAATGAGTCTTGCAATTCTGCTTTTTAAAGTTACCGCTAGAGGCTCTGAGATGTAACCTTTGTTATGATCGCATTAACTAAATAGTATATTAAGCAAAAATAATTTATTTTTTTGTCCCACAGATCCGAGCCTCTTAGGACATTTCGGAGATTTTACCGCACGGCTTGAATTTTGACATTTGTCAATTCTGATAGTCTGTCAGTGAATTTGTTTTGAAAAAATGTACCAAAAAACTAACGGTCGTAGAAAAAGTGTAGTATGCAACACGTTTGGTAAGCATTTTAAGTCACGAGCGGAGTGACGTGGCTGGTGAACCTTTAAAAGTCATGATGAACCTCGTGATTATTTTCATCCAGAAAATTTAATCAAGTTTGACCCATTTAAAATTTGTAATGTGAATAACACAAAACTATTTATTTATGCTCTCCAATTCATCATTTTTAATAATTAAAACTGAAAAACTGGCAGCGACGGATATCCAAAAAAGTGCGTTTGAAGGGTTGTAGGTGACGTCCAGCCGTAATGACGTAGGCAGTCCAAGTCTAAGTGCGGCCCTGTGTCTGACAACCGGGTCTGAATCAGTTTATGTCTATGAGTGGCAAAGACGTGTGAGTGTTTGTGTGGGGAGACGAACTTGGTATTGTTGTGGTTGTGGTGAACTGTGCTGGTTTGAACAACTAAATTTACAAGTTCAATCTTCGCTGCATTGAACATTAATTACTTTTTAACAATTTCAAAAAACAATAAGTGAAACTAAATTAATGGTGCAATATTTATGACATTCTAAAATGTCATCTCCCAGCGCTGGCAAAAGACGTATGGACACTGATGTTATTAAACTGTATCCTTCCTTTGTGTTTTGTAGAAATTGTAAACATTTCTGGCGTCAGCTGATTGTGATACGCACGTTTCAAATTTTTTCTAACCGCTTCACGGCCTTGTCCTTTCTCTCTTTGCCTTAAAAAAATCTATTTTGAATTTACTCGTAACTATTTTTGTCATATTTACAGCTGATCGTCAACAATATGTTTTATTGAATTTTTTTCTTAACAAATTTACTCAGCATAGAAAGCAAACATGAGGTGACAATTCTGGGGGGTTTGAATGAATTTTGTGTCAAATTTTATGGACCAAGAGGAAGTATGTAGAATGCTAATGATTCTAAAATGACTTTTTTAACATTCGTTTTTTTTGGGATTTAGCGCCTTATGAAGGTGGCGTTTGGAAAGTTCGGGTACATTTACCCGAACATTATCCATTCAAATCACCCAGTATAGGGTTCATGAACAGAGTTTATCACCCCAATATAGATGAAGTATCAGGTACAGTTTGTTTAGATGTTATTAATCAAGCTTGGACAGCACTTTATGGTAAGTTTTATGGACAAAATTAGATCTGAACTGTATTTTAATCCTCTCACCCACTCCTTTTAATTGGGAAAAAAATTATATTAAATCGTGGTACTTGTTTTAGATTTATCCAACATTTTTGAGTCGTTTCTTCCCCAACTATTAACATACCCAAATCCAATTGATCCTTTGAATGGGGATGCAGCTGCAATGTATCTTCACAAACCTGAGGAATACAAGAAAAAAGTTTCTGGTAAGTTCGCGGCTATGGTCATTTGAATTTGAATATTATTATTAATAAATAAATCAGAATCATAGACAAAATTATAACATTTAATGATCAGCAATGTTTTATTACCCTACTGAAAGTTTGAATAATGTTTACAGAATATGTTAGAAAATATGCCACAGAGGAAGCATTGCGCGGTGGGGAAAACATAAGTTCAGATAGCGAGTCTAGCATGTCAGATTTTTCAGAAAATGAGGCCGAGGATATGGAGTTATAACGCCGGCTGTTGACATCTTTTATTATTCATTATGCTCGCTCAATCAAACTTCCTCATTGGCTGAAAAATTCTGATTTAGAGTTAAAATGTGATGTGCTTAAACTGTTATTTATATTATCTTGATTGTTTTGCATTTTATAGTTTATTTTGTTGCCCAGTCTGTCTCAGGGTTAAAAAAAACTGGAATGCAGTCTTTGTAAGACACGGGCAGACATTATTTTTAAGACTTAGGGTTTAAATGCATTAGGGACAGTGGAGAACAATTTTATTTATTGCTTTTGCAGTTTTTTTTTTTTGGAGGACCAGCTTTATTATAAGTTTGAAATAGATATCTGAAAACCAAAATTATTTCAAACTTACACCAACCAAGAGTCATTTTTTAGCAAATTGATTTTTATTGTATTATGGTTTTTTAATAAAACTCTCCTTTTTACAAAATATATTGTGGATAAATTTGTGAATAAAACATATTTGTACCTCGTTAGGTTCAAGTTCATAGTTATTCGCTAGCTATTTCAAGAAATAAGTACTCTCGGTGGTTGGCTAGTGGCGTATCAATGGAATCCAGAGTACTAATAGTACACTCAAAACCACCAAAAAAAAAAAGTTGAATCAGTCACATTGTTTTGCATGGACCTCTTTGTTGTCATTTATTTTTAATTAAATTAATATTATTGCAGAATATATTGTGGATACATTTGAGTTGAACACATTTTTTTAATATATTTTTATTTCCTTAGGTTCATATTCACAGTTGCTAGCTAGCCATTTCAAGAAATATATACTTTCATTTGTTGGTATGTGGCGTACCCCAGGGTGGTCTGAATTTTTGGTAACATCATTACATCAGGTATTGGCAACTTAACACAGCAAACCGACAACATATAAAACTCTGCCTGTGATAAGAATAAAAATTATCAAAAAATAACACATGGCACCCTGTTTAGTTAATAGAAATTACCTACTTATCTTGTTGTAACTCAGTCAAAACGGAATGTTTTTTTATTGTACACGAAATGTTTCCAGTAGGCCTCAGATTCCTTTTTTTTTTATTTATAGGAATATCGATCTACACAAATTCCAAATTTCTAGCACGTATTTTTTTTATTTATGTATATTATTAATTTACACATATCCATTTCGGACATTAAAAAAGGAGGAAATATTTTTTTTTAATTTATTTTTTTGTATGCTTATACCGCATTGTGGACAAAAAAGGTGTATAAAATCCGAGCGACAAACATTTTTATGTATATATGTTTTTAATTTATATATGAAGACATCAATCTAAACAAGCCCCGAATTTCGGTTATTGCAGACGAAAAACATTTTTTCGTGTTTCTTTATTATGTATATTTTTGATTAACACAAATTCTGCATTTTTACAAGTCACTCGAAACTTCTCGTTTCGGTATCCAACTGACCTGCCCAGTAATGTCGATTAAGAAAACTAACAAATGAATCATCAAAACCAAAAAAACAGCTTGTGAAATAAAATAATAGGCGTGATTTGCTAATACATTTGTTAAAAATACCCAGTGGTCTGAGCAGATACTCATTTTTTTGTTGCGTATATTATATATGATTTGTATATTAGCGGAATAGGTGTGCAATTAATTTCAGAGTGAAAATGGCGTTTTTGTATTTTTGTTGCACAATAGTGTATATATTGAATGACAAAAGTGCTTCTAATAGCAAAAGCTTACTAAACCAACAAGCCATTATTGCAAAGTAAGTTTTGGTCCTGTTAACTTTATCTACTTAGTTGAACAGATAAGTTTTTGTGGTCTCATTAAATACCTAACTGTAAATAGATATGTTTATCGATTATTATTTAAAAATCATTTGAGTACTTTCTCTAAGACAGGATGTATTTTTATATAGAAAACCTTTTCGTGTGTTTTTTCATATTTTGATGTAAGGCTAGTTTATAAGAGTTTAAATCTGTCATAAGTAACCATTTTTGGAAAGTTTATCATAATGTGTCTTATTAGTGAGTTAAGTTTTTATAGTTTGACAGCGAACATACAAAACGTTTGAAACAAAAAGTACAGGCAAATTTCTGGTCATTTAAGAATCTTGCACTATAGTATATATAATATTTACATCAAAAGTATGTTTGCGGATGGACTATAACTGCACAATAATTATTGGGTTTTAAGTCTAGCTGTTGTCAATGAAAAAATATATTGAAAAAACATTGTCCTCGCGCAATGACAAAAATACATCACGTTTATATTTTTAACTACGACTAATAAAAAGAATTTTAAAGTGTAGGTCATATTGGTAGCGTAACCTTATCAAAATAAATAGGTACGTTTATTAAAATCTATGTTGTTTTATTTCTTATGCGTTTCAACCTTATTGTTTCAACCTCTCAGTAAAAAAAAAAAGATCAGTCAACCATACCGAGTTGCTGAGTTAAACGAAAACAAATATTGATGTGGGAGATCCCTGATACAAGGTTAAATTGGGAACACACTATGACGTCCCTCTTTCGATATCAAAAGAGCTTAAAAATTAAAAAAATAAAATTGCCGTATAAAAAGCATATTTTAGTGTGCGTTTTGTCAGATTGACGTTTGATTTGAAAAAGGCGGAAAATATATTTTTTAATAAACAATTTAAAATTGCTTCGTTGGATTTACTGCCCAGAGTTTCGGCAGAAAAACAGAAATAGATAATTTTTAGAATTTGGTCAATTACTTTTTATTTTAAGTTCTGGGTGGTTTTAAAAAAGCTGGCAAAAATTTCAAATCTATTTTTTGAATGGCTATTTCGATATTTTATTGGTTGATCGGCATCCGCATTTGTAAATGGTTTTGTTTTTTGCGCAATATAAAATCTAAACCTTTCTATTGCACTAAAAATTAGATCAAACGTTTGCAATCGATATGTATATTTCTAATTTTATTTGTTTGCGAATCTCTAAAACTTCAATTTTTAAAATTAATGGCGGGTTTTCTATGTTTTAAAAATATCGAACATTGATTCTAATGGCTCCTAAAATATCCGCAATGAAATAAATGTTTTTCTTATTGCTTAGAGCAGAAATGAACATGTAGATTTATATTTGGACAATTTAATTATCACTCAAATTTATTAAAACTTTATAGATTATCAATTCTGACAGCGAAACATATTATGAAAATTAATTTTTCGTAATGTATGAAGTATATGGATGTGGTTTAAGGCATCAGTTAATGCTAAAAATGGAAAAGATTTGTACACAAACCAAAATACCCTCCTAAAGGGTAGGTAGAGACTTCTCAGAATTGTGTTGTCAGTGATGCCGATATTCCCTCCTTTTCATGGTTAAAAACACGATAAACTTTTCTGACACCATCGGAACTTTAAATGAATTTTCGCGACGACAGTTGTTAATAGGTAGGTAGATTTTTATTGGCTGTAAAAGTATTGCTGGAACACTATATAAGCACAAAATACCTTGGGTAATTCTTTTTCGTGTAATTAGCAGTACTTAACGAATTGTAGTATGACTGAACAGGTAGGTGCAAGTAACAGCTATTAATAATTGTATATCTGGCGAAGGTGCGGGTACTTTAGAATTATAAAACAGGGAAAGGTTTTATAAATACGTAACCTAACGGGACCTTTGGCGGCTTCTATAAAATACAAATTATCGGTAAACGGAAAAAGTTAAATATAAATCTCGAAGGGTAAAATCGATGTTTAAAGGACAAGATATATATATAGATATTAAAAAGCTTCAGATTTTTCCGCTACATTAAATCTGGTGTGAAATTTTTTTGCGCCATGGACTGGCGCACAATCGAACGAGCTGCGGAAAATAAAAAAAAAAGTTATATCTATCAGGCTACCGGCAAATAGTCTATGTTAAACCGGGGTATCATTATTATCTCGATAACAACAGTTTATTTGCTTTGAATTAAACCAAGTTACATCCAAAATTAATGAAAAGGTTAAACTATAGGGCAAATCAATTGTTGAATTCAGTTGATGAGTGCGACGTTGCTATTTGAACGAAAACTCCGATCATCATCAACTGAAAATTGGCAATGGTAAGTAATTATTGCTCACTATGTATTTCTTCGCTTAAAGTGGAATGTTATGTATTATGACTATATATTTATATATGTTATTTTTGATGTTTCCGTTGAATACTTATTATCAATGTTTCGACTATTTTGTAATTTTTTCCCTCTCAAGATTTAAAATGTTAATCACATTCTCAGTATTAGGAAAATAAGTAAATATATTAAAAGTGAATCAAACTTAGCACCTGAATAAAATATCTAAACATAAAAAAGCATGTATATCTTATGCTAAAAGAACTGTCCCCAGAGAACATATGTATATGTACTTATAATACACATATACGTATATACAGACACAATCAACATAACCTCAATTTGAACTTAGTGGTGGCATTTGGCAACGTCTAAATTGGGTGACCTATATTTTTCTGCTGCCATCAACACATGATACAGGGTCACGATGTAGTGGGATGTTACCATCTTATGTCAATTCAAACAAGTTATCAATTTTTATGCCAGTTTTATGTTTTTCAATTAATGATTTAAAATAAAATACAGTGCCAAATGCGTTGCCGTCAACTAATTAACAAGATGTCCATTTTTAAAGTTATTGTTGTTAAACAGACTTAATAATTCTACAAAAATACGATTTAAAATGGTACTTGTAAGTAGTGTAACCTCTGAAACTTAACCTATATTTGTTTTCAGTTTGCTGATGTTTTATTTTTTTACCACCCAATTATCAAACATAATAACGACGGATTAACAAAACAAATAAATATAATTCTCGGCACGTTTATAGATTTAATATATGTTTAGAAACTTTAAGATTGTCTTTTGAACGGTAGTTGACAGATGGTTTTTCATATCTTTTAAATAAATAATAAAATCTTTTCACTTTTAATGCTTTGTTTTAGAAAGCTTAGTTGTTGTTGCCCCCAAAATACTCACAAAAAAGAACAAAAATGAACGAATCTGGGGGCAATGTGCTTCATGTTGGAGATATTGTGTCTCTCTATGCCGAGGGTACAGTGAGTGGGTTCCTTAGTACTCTAGGGTAAGAAAACTTTTTCGCCATATGCGCGAGAGACAGATTAATTTTATTAAAATTTACAGCTTGGTTGACGATCGTTGTGTGGTATGTCCAGAAGCAGGGGACCTATTAAACCCACCCAAAAAGTTCAGAGACTGTCTGTTTAGAATATGTCCAATGAACAGGTACTCTGCCCAGAAGCAATTCTGGAAGGCTGCCAAGCAAAGTATGGCTTCAAATACTGATACAAGCTTACTTAAGAGATTACATGTAAGCATTTTAAGTACAGGAAATTTGGGCTATAAGGCGGGCAATATTGTGGACAGAATTACCAGTTTTGAAAAAGTTTCGCTTTTTGTTGTGTTGTTTAATTGACCGCCTTGTCTATACGGTATTGCTAAACATCATATGCCAACTACATGCAATAAAACGTCAAGCAAAAATTTCGCGAAAAACGATTATTTCGTTTAAAAATGTGTAGATTTAGCTGTTAACTTCTTGAAGTTGAAAATTAGTTTTTATAAGAAGTAATCACACTAAAGTTTTTATTTATTGAAGTTAATTTTTTGACACCCTGTATAAGATAGGGAAATTATTGCAATTCTATAAAACAAATATCGTGGCACTTCATCATTTAATTAATATACCTTAAAGTTTAGGTATCTAAAATAAAACTTATAAAAAAAATATGTACAAACATTTAACAAAAATATCACCTTGATGCGTTTAGCAATTTTAAGACAACCTCTGTAATGTCACACTAATTGACAATATTTTAAAATTTAATATAGGGATTAATTTGAGTAATTTTAACAGAAGTAGTCAACTTGAATTGCTTAGTACAGCAGCCGGTCAAAAATTTGTAAACCCTAGGAATTGTTACCTTGACGACTTAATACTTTTTACGGTTTTTTAATAAATTTGATCTGAAAATAACAATTCATCGCTATATTCCGTTGAAATCAATTCCTAGAGTTTAACACCTGTTTACAGTATTATTTATGTTAACTTCTAAAAACAGTTTTTCACCACTAGGTTTCAACATTAAATCGATTGTTAGGCTTTTGTTATTTTATATTCCGCGATATTTAATATTTAGTGATTTAAATTTCCATGTAGCGATGCATCTCAAATATATTTTACATTAGATTCATAATAGGTATACCAAAGGTACTCTATAAGAATAAAAAACAATATTTATTCCATATGCGATATTGGTAATGTTACGTATTGAGTGTCAGTACCAAAATGCAATATAATGAAATGGTTGAAAAAGAGCCAATACGGTCACTTCATCCCCTACTCCCCTATGCTCGCCCCGTACGAGCATCTTTTGTTTCTGTCTAACCAACACCTTTGCCCGCTAATTGCCGTCTTTTATTGACGCAGTGAACATTTCCCAAAATGCGTTGCGAATATTTTATATTAGGAAAAGAAAGAGCCATTAAGACCGAGCCTTGATGTACTCTCCTGGTAATATCGAGAATTATTGTTTTTGGTTAAATATTAGTATTCCTAAATTATACCTACTATCTCACATATATCCTAAAATGAAACTGCCACAATATTGCGTAGCAGAGAAAAAAAACTATACTAAGCTGCAATAATTATTGAGATCTTTCCCAAATCTGTTTGGGAACTTTCCTTTTTTAGCATGCCGCTGAAATAGAAAAAAAGCAAAATGATACTGAAAACAAAAAATTCTTGGGAACTAATGTACTCTACGGCAATGTGGTTCAGGTAATTAAATTGACACAATAAAATAATATGCATAAAATAAACTCGATAATTGTAGCTCCTTCATTTAAAGTCAAATAAGTACTTAACTGTAAATAAGCGGCTGCCAGCTCTACTAGAAAAAAATGCTATGCGCGTTTATCTCGATAGTAATGGGAATGAAGGCTCCTGGTTTTATATTATGCCATTTTATAAACTGAGGGCAACAGGTGATAATGTCGTATTGGGTGACAAAGTTATGTTAAACCCTGTTAGTCCTGGGCAACAAGTTTTGCATGTAGCATCTAACCATGAATTAGCAGACAATCCAGGGTGTAAAGAAGTAAATGTTGTTAATGGAAGCACTTCGTGGAAAGTTACCCTATTTTTGGAGCACAGGGAAAATTTAGATGATATCTTGAAAGGTGGTGATGTTGTTAGGTTGTTCCATGCGGAACAAGAAAAGTTTTTAACCATGGATGAGCATAAAAAACAGCATCATGTCTTTCTCAGGACAACAGGACGTACCAGTGCATTTGCTGCTACTAGTAGTAAAGGTTCGTTAAAAAAAACTTTTAGTTGTATTGTTTGTTTGCTGTTCTAATTATAGCTTTGTGGGAGGTGGAAGTGGTTCAAAACGACCCCTGCAGGGGTGGCGCTGCGCACTGGGATTCTTTATTTAGATTTAAGCATCTAGCTACAGGGCAGTATTTAGCTGCCGCTGTAGATTCCGATGAATCTGATAAAAATGATCCAGGTGAAAATACCTCTTACCGTTTGGTACCCGTTGCCCACCCTAGTGAAAGAAACGAAATAGCTTCGCTTTTTGAACTTGATCCAACAAGCTTACCAAGAGCAGATTCTTTGGTTCCCCAATCGAGTTGGGTTAGATTACATCATATCTTTACTAATACTTGGGTTCACTCTACCTCAATACCGATAGATAAAGATGAAGAAAAACCAGTTATGTCCAAAGTAGGCTGTGCTTTGGTTAAAGAAGACAAGGAGGCCTTTGGATTAATTTCAGTGTCACCTGTAGAAGTTCGCGATCTCGATTTTGCAAATGATGCTTGCAAATTATTGTCATCCTTATCTGTTAAGTTAGCGAAGGGAACAATTTCACATAGTGAAAGGAGGTGATTTTTTTTATCATCGAGATTGTACCCTGTCTTATTTTTCTCAACACTAGGTCTTTAACGACTTTGCTACAAGATATTGTTTATTTTGTTGCGCAACTGGAAAACGATCAAAACAAGACTGAAGCTTTAGATCTAATTATTACGAATCCTAATCGAGACAGGCAGAAACTGCTGAGGGAACAGGCTATTCTTAAACAACTCTTCAGAATATTGCAGGTATGGATCAATTTTTTCAAAAGTGTTCATTAAACAAATCAAGGCTTCTTGTAGGGACCTTTCTTAGAAGAAAATGGGGAACCATCATTTCTAAAACTCGAAGAACTTAATGATCCTCGTCATGGACCGTACAAATATATTTTTAGGCTTTGTTATCGAATATTGAGATTAAGTCAACAAGATTATCGAAAGAATCAAGAATATATAGCAAAACATTTTGGTTTCATGCAGAAACAAATTGGCTATGATATTTTAGCTGAAGATACAATAACGGCTTTATTACACAATAACAGGAAATTGTTGGAGAAACATATAACACCAGCAGAAATTGAAACTTTCGTCGGATTAGTGAGGAAAAATATGAGTAATTGGGAATCTCGATTTTTAGACTATTTATCAGATTTATGCATATCAAATAAAAAAGCAATACCAGTAACCCAGGAACTAATATGTAAAAGTGTGTTGAGTCAGAAAAACTCTGACATTCTCATAGAAACTCGAATGATGAAAACTCAGGTTGAGCTTCACGAAGTCGCTGAAGAGGATGAAAGTCTGTTAGATAATGAAGATAGTTTAATAACGGTAGTGGAAGAGTGTCAAACTATGTTGCTCTGGAAAAATCGTCAGAAGCAGATGACTTTGACCGATTTATGTCGCAATGCAAAACTAGGAAGCAAAGAAGATCAAGCGATTCTCGACTATTATAAACATCAGCTAGATCTTTTCTCTAACATGTGTCTCAATAGACAGTACTTAGCTCTTAATAACCTGTCGCCACACCTAGACATAGAACTTATACTTAAGTGTATGGCGGATGAAAATGTAAACTTTGACCTTCGCGCCTCATTTTGTCGATTGATGCTACATCTTCATGTAGATAGAGATCCACAAGAGCCTGTCACTCCTGTCAAATATGCAAGATTGTGGTCAGAAATCCCATCGCTAATGTCTATAAATGAGTTAGTATGAGTTTTCTGCCGGCTTTGTTTTTGCATGACTTAACTATTGGACTAATAACATTTTGAGTTTTAGTTATGATTGTAACAAAATGCCAGACCCAAATAAAGAAGCAGTTCGTGCCAAATTTTCGTCTACTATATCTTTTGTGGGTGGTTATCTTTGCAATGTAGTTGCTAAAATGTGGTCATTTGCTGATCAGGAACAAAATAAACTAACTTTTGAGGTTTAAACATTCTTAGGGTTTTGCAGAGGAAAAAATAAAATTCAAATTTTAGGTTGTGAAATTGGCCAGAGAGTTAATTTATTTTGGTTTTTATAGTTTTTCTGACTTGCTTAAATTAACCAAAACGTTGCTTAGCATTTTGGATTGCGTGTCTGAAGCCGATATGGACGGCATTATTCCAGTAGGCGATATTGACTGTAAGTATTTTGATTTGCTTTAACATTTTTAACATAAGTCCAAACATTTAAAATTGTCTTTCTTAAGCAGCAGCAGACGACAAAAAGTCTAAAGAAACGGAAGAAAAAGGTATCTTTGCCGTTTTAGTGTTTTTTATGTTTCTGACTGTTAGCCGTCAAGACGCTTCAATATTTTGTTCTCCCATTGATGTTTTTTCTTCGTTCTTATCGTTAGACGTTGTATAAAGGCAACACCGAATTTGAAATAATTGAAGATAAAGCGTACCAGAAGAAACGTCATTGTAATCTTATAGCAGGTGGCAGCAAATAATTTGCGAGATTTTTTGTCTTCTTCAATTCGTAGCTTTTCTTATTAGACAAGAAAATGTACTTTATTATATGTATATTTTTATTTTTGACAGCTGAAGGTGGTGTGTTGAGAACTATTGGAGATATGGGAGCTGTAATGACTTCATTAACATTGGGCCCTAGTGGGAGGGCGGTAGTGACATCAAATGGTCAACATAAAGGTTCACACTACCATAAAGAATATCCTCTCGTTATGGACACAAAGCTCAAAATTATTGAAATATTGGAGGTGTGAATTAAAACTGCATTAATATCTTAGTATTTAAAATTTTATCCATTTCATTATTTTCAGTTTATCTTAGATGTTCGTTTGGATTATAGAATTAGTTGTCTTTTAAGTATATTTAAACAAGAGTTTGACGAATCAGAACGACATAGCGGGGGTAATGTTAACCTGGGTCAAAAAAATATTGATTTAGAGGCTATTGGAAGTCAAGCTGAAGGCATTTTTGGAAGCAGTGAAGATAGTGCGATATTAGATCTTGATGGTCACGGTGGCAGAACCTTCCTAAGGGTTTTATTACACTTAACTATGCACGATTATCCACCATTAGTATCTGGAGCATTGCATCTCTTGTTCCGCCATTTCAGCCAAAGGCAAGAAGTTTTACAAGCCTTTAGACAAGTTCAGTTGCTTGTTTCTGATAGCGACATTGAATCCTATAAACAAATTAAAGCTGATTTAGACGTTTTGAGACAATCAGTAGAAAAATCTGAGCTCTGGGTTTATAAATCGAAATGTGTTGAAGACCATACTTCTTCAGGGAAGAAGAATAAGGAAGAAGAAGATGAAGTACCTACAGCAAAGCCACCCATGCTAAGTGTTTTGGAAAAGAAAGGATCGGCTATAAATTTGGATGTAGGCCCTCCTTTACACCCGGAACAAGCGGAAGAATATCGGAAAATTCAGCAAATATTAATCAGAATGAATAAACTGTGTACTCAAGACTCTCCAATGCTCAAACCAAGAAAACATGAACAACGTTTATTACGAAACGTTGGAGTACACACCGTAGTTCTTGATTTGCTTCAAGTACCATATGATGAGAAAGAAGACATCCGGATGAATGAACTTATGAGGCTCGCTCACGAATTTCTCCAAAACTTTTGCCTGGGTAATCAACAAAATCAAATTTTACTTTACAAGCATTTGGATTTATTTCTAAATCCTGGGGTAAAATATCGAAAATAATAAATTTAGTTCAAACTTACGCCTTCACGTATTTTAGATTAGAGAGGCGCAAACTGTGTGTGCAATATTTCAAGATAATCCGACTTTGTGCAATGAAGAAAACGAAAAAGTCATTCAGCACTTCGTTCATTGCATTGAAAGCCATGGCAGGCATGTGCAATATTTAAAGTTTTTGCAAACTATCGTCAAAGCTGACAACCAATTTATTAGAAAATGTCAGGATATGGTTATGCAGGAGGTAATATTGAAATAAATACGTTTTTGGTAGAACGAAAAAAAGGAAACTTTAAATTTTTTTATTCGCATAGCATCGCGTAAAAACCATTATGACCGTAAATCAATTTAAATTTTCCATTGTCCAGTTCTGCAAAACTTTTCCTATAAACTTTATAAATTTCAGTTAATAAACGCTGGGGAGGATGTTCTTGTTTTCTATAATGATAAAGCATCCTTCAACCATTTCATTGAAATGATGAGATCAGAACGCCATTGCATGGACGAAAGTAGTCCATTAAAGTATCATGTAGAATTAGTGAAACTCTTAGCTTGCTGCACTATGGGCAAAAACGTATATACAGAAATCAAAAGTCATAGTTTGTTGCCTTTGGATGATATTGTCTCAATGGTTACTCATCCAGATTGCATACCAGAAGTTAAAGAAGCGTATGTGGGGTTTTTGCATCACTGTTATATTGACACTGAAGTTGAGATGAAAGAAATATACACTTCGAACCACATGTGGACTTTATTTGAAAAGTCTTTCCTAGTTGATATGGCTGATATTGCCACAGCACCAAATGATCGGAAACACCCCGACAATGCTTTAGAAAATTATGTTACAAACACAGTTATGAACCTTATCACTACATTTTTCAAAAGCCCGTTTTCTGATCAAAGTACTACAGTACAGGTAAGTAAAGAATTTGTTTAGTGTAAGATCTGGCCTTTCATGCATGTGGGTTTACATTTTACTAACTATTAGCATTTCAAGGACAGTGTGGTAGTTTTTCAGTATTGATGGTTTTTTCGCTCGGAAGCTAAAAAAAATTGTTAAAACTAAATTAGAGATAAAACTATCAATACTTGGTAATGGTGCTTTTCTGGTGTCTTTTTTGGGTATCTTATTAGAATCATCTGCATGAAGCAAGCGTTTATTGGAGTGGTTCTACAACAGATGATTTTCATCATACTTCAAGTAATTCTCGACTCAAACATACTCCATTTTCTTCTAATGTAAGTAACATAGCTGTCCCGACTATAGTTTCTTATTCACATTTGTTTTCTCTTCGCAGTAGTTCAAATGTACCTCGATGTAAATAGCTACATTAAAAAAATTGCTGTAATTCGTAGATAATTCCAACTTTTGAACATATAAGTTACATGGGCTTAAGTCTAATTTGATGCATGCGCTTTATTTTACTATTGTATGGCGAGATTAAATGCCAAACCGCTGTTTTATTAATTACGTTTTACAGACAAGGCAACCAATTTTCGTACAGCTATTACAATCGGCATTCAGAGTCTCACAGTGCCTTTGGCTTTCCGCATCTCAGCGATTTAATGTCGAAAATTGCATTCGTACACTTTCAGAAGTGGGTTAGTAATGCTCTACCGTTTTTTCATGAATTTCGTTTAAACGAATCTAAAAATTTTTAGCAAAAAACAGGGGTATTGCCATACCTTTAGATTTGGAAAGTCAAGTTGCACCTATGTTCAACAAGGCTAATATATTAACGCGACAAACTAGCAAGTGGTTGACAGCTTCTAAGACACCGAAAATTGAAAGATCGCAGTCACAATTGATGAGGTTAGACAGAAGTATAATAGAAGGTTTACAAGATATCGTCTCACTTCTCGAAGATCAATTAAAACCGTTGGTTCAATCGGAGTTATCGCTCCTTGTTGATGTATTATATAGACCAGAACTACTGTTTCCCCCTGGTACAGAGCCCAGGAAAAGATGTGAAAGTGGGGGATTTATTAGGAGGTAATTATTGAATTCATAAAATGTTTCAAACAGTTTCAATATCGCTTTCAGGCTAATAAAACATACGGAGAAGCTGCTTGAAGAAAAGGAAGAGAAATTGTGCGTGAAAGTTTTAAGAACCCTTAGAAAAATGATGGCGGTCGATCCGGAATATGGGGAAAAGGTTAAAAACGAATTTTTTATTTAAACGTTAGCAAATAATCAGTGTTTCTTTCTTAAATGCTGCTTAGATCGATAAAAGTCTGTCAGAAAATGACATGGTATAGTATTATTTTTACTTATTGTGTCACTTTCCTGGATGTTTAATTTCCTTGTAAATATCTATGTAAATTGGTTGTGCCCCTATATGTTGCCCATCCCTATAAAATTTAATAAAATATAAAATGTGTTGATTAAATAGTTAAAATTTATAGGGAGAAGTGCTCAGAAACAGCTTGTTAGCCCGATATTTTGGAAAAGCGGCTACGCAGAATCAGGAAAGCATGACGGTCACTGCCCATCAACCAGCTATAACGCACGGCCCAGGAGGTATATTGGCGTCATTGTAGTTAATTTGAGCTAGATGTAATATTTTTTAGCGAAAATAATTAGTAGGGCCGGTCAAACTTTACACGATGTTCAGACCCATTTAGATAAAGAAGGAGCATCTGATTTAGTCGTCGAATTGGTAATAAAATCGGGAAACTCTCCATCAATTTTTGAGGAGGCCGTCGAATTGGGAATAGCCCTTTTGGAAGGCGGCAATTCAACTATCCAAAAGAGCATGTACAATAAATTACTCGGTGGTGACTTGAGCCAGGCGTTCTTTAAGGTCTTCTATGAGAAAATGAAAGACTCTCAATCGGAAATAAAGTCCACGGTATCTGTGAATACATCGGATATGGCTGCCAAAGCGCACGAAGATAAGCAGGATGGCAAAGAAATTGAGAAACTGTCAAAAAAACAGGGAAAAACAAATGGTATATTGATTACTGACGAATTAAGGGATGAGTTGAGCAGGGCCGCGGAGTGTACAACTCAGGCCTATGCTCACATTCGAAGCATGGCCTCTGGAGACGATGCAGTAGTGAACTCAAGTGCCGCATCTGCGTTTGAGGACTTGCTAGCCGAAAAAATGGAAAAACATCGCGAAAGAGACGAACAGAACGGGTTATCAAATAAAGTTTTGATAATGCAACCGATATTAAGATTTTTGCAACTGTTATGCGAAAATCACAACCCGAAGTTGCAGAATCTGTTGAGAAATCAGAACAACAAAAACAACTTCAATCTGGTTTCCGAAACCCTCATGTTCTTGGATTGTATATGTGGATCGACTACCGGCGGTTTAGGCCTTTTGGGATTGTATATAAATGAAAATAATGTGGCTTTGATAAACCAGACCTTAGAGACGCTTACCGAATATTGTCAAGGGCCCTGCCATGATAACCAGAACTGTATAGCAACACATGAATCGAATGGGTTGGATATTATAACTGCGTTAATATTGAACGACATTAATCCGCTAGGCAAATCGAGAATGGACTTGGTTTTAGAGTTGAAGAACAACGCATCAAAACTTCTACTAGCTATAATGGAGAGTCGAGGTGATAGTGAAAACGCCGAACGAATCTTGTCAAACATGAATCCCAAACAACTAGTTGAAGTTGCTTGCAAAGCATTTCACCAAGAGACCACTGAAGACGACGATGACGTAGACGACGGTAGTGTTGAGGATGTGGTTTCGCCCAAAGAAGTCGGTCATAATATTTATATACTGTGCCACCAATTGGCTCAACACCACAAAGAATTAGCTAATTTGCTTATACCTTCGGACAACTTGGATCCTAAAATGCATAAAGCACTAGAATATTACAATACTCACACAGCACAAATAGAAATAGTTCGCCACGATCGCACATTGGAACAGATAGTTTTTCCGATCCCAGAAATTTGCGAATATATTACAAAAGATACCAAAATTAGGGTGTTAAATACGGCTGAGAGGGATGATCAGGGTTCCAAAGTTGCAGACTTCTTCGATAGGACCAACGATATGTTCAGCGAAATGAATTGGCAGAAGAAACTTAGAGGTTTGTGGGTGCGCGGAACCATATCAAATCAACCAATAAAAAAATTATAGAAGTCGTTTAAGAGTTGAAAATGATACAAATAAGTGAGGTTGATTTGATATGATCTTATCCTAGTGTATAAAATTATTTTATTGCTACAGCTCAGCCGGTTCTGTCTTGGGTCAGTAGCTACATGTCGCTTTGGAGTAATATACTATTCAACTGCGCTGTGTTAATAAATCTTATAGTAGCATGTTTCTATCCGTTTGAAGATACTTTACCACGTAAGTTAGTTGCAGGGACGTGCATATTTTCAATTAACTTTTTGGCTTGTAGAAATAACCTCAACAATCTCCATATTAATTTGGATAGCCATGTTGGTCTCTTCCGCCATAGTTATAACGCTACCAAGAGAAACTGGGATTAGAACTCTAGTTGCTTCGACCATACTTAGGCTTATCTACTCCCTCGGCCCGGAGCCAACATTGTGGATACTTGGATCCGTAACCATAATTCTCAAGGGAATACATCTAGTCAGTATAATGGGCAACCATGGAACGCTAACCAAAACGTATCAGCAAATTCTAACTGACGCAGAGTTGGTTTATCATTTAACATATTTAGTGTTTTGTATGTTAGGACTAATGATGCATCCGTTTTTCTATTCTGTTTTGGTCAGTCTTGCCATATTTCCAGTTTGCGGCCGTTTTTAATACCGATTCATTATAGTTGTTCGACGTTGTTTATCGAGAAGAGACACTTCTGAACGTTATAAGATCAGTTACTCGAAATGGCAGATCTATCATTTTAACAGCAGTACTAGCTTTAATTTTGGTGTACATGTTTTCTATAATCGGGTTCATGTTCTTCAGAGACGACTTCATTGTTAGCGTCAAGAAAAAGGATGGTAATATAAATGAAATACGTAAATAAATCAACTTCCGAGCCGCAAATAATGTATTTTTTAGTTGAATCCTGCGAGTCGTTCTCGGAATTAACGGGAAATAAATACAAGGAAGATGCTACTGGGGAATATTGCGAATTAATAGACCCCGGCGAAGAACGTAAAGAGAGAGCGTGTGATTCTTTAAGGATGTGTATCGTGACGACTCTTAACCAGGGATTGAGAAACGGTGGTGGAATTGGCGATATTCTGAGAGCACCTAGTAGTGAAGTATGTGATTATTTTCATTATTTAATTTTAAGTCTCCGCACTGATTTATTTAAAATAATTGACAACTTTTAAACAAATCGTAATTATTCTCTTTCGAGGAAAATTCTTTCTCCACGGAAGCGCCTTGCCGGCCTCCCTCCCGCTCTGCCACGAACGCACCGATACGATTTGGATTTTTCGCGTTAGTGCCTTTTTGGCAATTCCACTCCCGCTAGAGGGTTAGTTTTTGGCGTTAATGCCTTTTTGGCAATTTCACCCCAGCTAGGGGTAGTCTTTGCGTTAGTGACTTTTTAGCAAACTCACCCCTGGTGCAAGTGCTGATTATTTAAAAAGAGTAAAACATTACGCCAATGGTGTTTTCAATTAATTAAATTTTTAAATATTCGCGTACCATATCCACGGATTCGGTGCTTATAAAATTTTTAAAAGTCAAATTTGAATACTAAATAATAACGTAACTTTCAGCCCTCATAGGCCACACAAAATGAAAAAAAAAAACTAACTTTTTTTGAAATAGTTTTTTGATTGGTGCCCATTTTGAAAACTTTTTTTCTTAATTTGATCTCGTTTTATTTAAATTTTGCCAATAGGGAACTTGTTATTAAAATAACAGGCTCTGTATATTTTTTGTATTTTAGGAGCCCTTGTTTGTACCTAGAGTAGTGTATGATCTACTATTCTTCTTTGTCGTGATTATTATTGTACTTAACCTTATCTTCGGTGTGATCATCGATACCTTTGCCGATTTAAGATCGGAGAAACAACAGAAAGAATTAATTTTAAAGAACACCTGCTTCATTTGTGGTAATTTACTCGCAGCATAAAATCAAATCGTGCCGCTCAAATTTACTTTTTTTTACAGGGCTAAACCGATCGGCATTTGACAACAAAACGGTGAGCTTCGAAGAACATATTAAAAACGAGCACAACATGTGGCATTACTTGTACTTCATAGTTTTAATTAAAGTGAAGGATCCTACGGAGTTTACAGGTCCAGAAAGTTACGTCTACACTTTAGTAAAGTCAGTGAATTTGGATTGGTTTCCAAGATTACGGGCCATGTCTCTAGCCGCTGTAGAAGGAGAAGGCGAGCAAATCGAACTCAGAAGTCTTCAAAATGTCTTGGAAAGTACTCAGACGCTTGTTAAAAATTTGTCGCATCAGTTGATGGAGTTGAAGGAGCAAATGGCCGAACAGAGAAAACAAAAACACAGGATAGGCCTGTTGAGTTCAGCTTCGGCATATCTACAACCAAATAACGTTTCATAGAGACTAAGTAGGAGTTAATGTCGTTCACTAGTCTTTTCATATTGTTCTACTGTTTTGATGTTAATGCAATAATCGTTTGCGATTTTTCTTGTTACGATTCTATATTAAATCTGCAATGCTCAATTTAATTGTTAAAACCGTTTTCAAACTTAACCAAAACGTTGCCCTCTGCATGATGGTAGTCTTAGCCATTTTTTGCGTAACTACATCTTCTATTTTTTATTATTATCCGTTGTGGTTGTAGGGTGGTTGTATGAAAATATTTCTTTAAGAAGCAATATTTTTGTTGTATGTACTTTTGTAATGTGTAAATTTTCTTGAAATAGATTCTATACCATGTTTATATGTTTTATCTTTTTTTTATTTTATTACTTTTTATCCCCTTACTAAGTTTTTTTGCTAAATTAAGAATGGTCTGTAAGGATATCCTTCTTTCATTACCATTATTCTAATTACTTATATTAAATTTGGCAAAACAGACAAATAAGCTAAACATTAATCAAGAAAAACCTAAAAAAAACGACCGGATTAAATATAGCAGGAAAATTAGAATTCCTTCATGTAAAATAAAAAATATAGCAAAGATTATTTTTGCGTGAAACGTTTCAAGGGTTTTTTTTTTCAAATAAACTTCCACAGGTTGCTTAACTGAACAGTTTCAGTTAAGCTCTGAAGAAGCCAAAAGGATGATTGGCGAAACGTCAGCAATTTCCACTAAGCAAAAACCGACGCTGGAGGAATCCAGAAGTTTTGTGAAAAGTACGTTTTAAGAGTGTTAACAATCTACTAGCTGCTTTAGAAATTTGTGAGCAATTCATTAGTTGAGATAGTTAAGTCAATATCACAGTGCAATACAAAATAAAACCAATTAATTACACGTTAATTAGCAATCAAATTTTGTTTTCTTAGCCTCACAGCCTCAAACTAACCAACCCTGGGAAAAACGAATTTAAAAAACAGCTAATTTAATTGTGATTAAGTAGGAAAAACTCTAAAAGTTTTCCGGAATCTTTAGATACAACGCGACGACTTTTCCCGGTTTTCCAGGTTGCCGATAACGCGGGGTAGACAGAGAAAACAACAAATTTGCTGGAGGATCCTCGAGGACTAAGCGAGGTTAGTCATTTTCGTTTAGTACCTACATAATAAAACAAAACGCTCACACTGTACGACAGTCAGGTGCTAATAGTTCGGTTTTAAAGAAAATGAAATTCGACGCGGTAACATTTTCGCGATAAGCGCTAATAAAGCAACTTTGAAAAAAGGGAAAAATCGACTCCAACTACGGTAAAAAATGAATCGCATTTTTTTCGTACGACCTTGACTGAAAAATGCCACGTTATCGCCGTTTTAGCGTCCCAATGTGAATAAATATTTAATGCTATATCGACATAGAACGCGCTTTATATTTATAGATCGGACCGGCATCGAACTTTATTTTAAATAATTAATAAAACACTAAACGAAATGGCACACTAGCAACGAGTACAATTAAATTATATAGTCGGATGTGGTTTGGTGGTTCGATGTGTCGAATGGGACTTTTTTTTAATTTTCGCGACGCCGTGGAACATCATTTGACTGACTGAATTAAAAGAGGTCCCCAACGCTTTCCGTCTAGTTTTCCTACGCGAAGCACGATAGATAAGGAAAACAGATGTCGCTACCATACGATAAACGAATTCACCGTATAAAATGATACGTTGCCAGTTGCAAAAATCGCGCGTGGATGTAGTAAACTGTTCAGTTATATTTATCGCGAATGTTGGTACTTTTCGTGGACTTTTCAAATTTTCGAATTGAAACCAGGGGCACCAACAGTTTAATTCGAATTAATTGCCGGGCGTTCGAACGCCGATCATCAGATAATTTCGCTAAATAGTGAACGTTTGATTATTATTAAACTATAATGAGTGAACGTTTTAAAGTGTCCAAATCGCAAGAAAAAAACCGTTACAACAGCTTCAACGATTCGAGGGACGATGGAAAAGTTACCGAGAAGCTTTTGCAGTCGAATATTTCAGGTAAACCTTATACCAATTAAATACCTCATGTACGTCTGAGAAGCCAACAAATCATTTCGTGCAACCCTTCGGTCGGTTTTATACGTCCCAAGGTTTTATATCGAGGGACTTTTCATCATCGTGTCGGCTAAATAAACTCGCACAAACATATGGTTTCATAAACCGATTTCAGTTATTAAATGCTATCGATTTTTTTTTATTTACATTGTTGATAGTAAAAACTTTATGGAATTGTGGAAACCTAACGAACTACTTAAGCTTGAGAGATTTGCAAAAACATACGGCACCAATAATATTAAAATGAAAAATAGATAACGGATTTTAATCGAAATCTTTTTCCCAAAATAACACATTAGCAAAAAACGAATCAGGTTGGATCACGGGCGGCACTGTATTTAGGCCACCCAAAACTAACCGGATTAATTAGACTGGAGAAACAACAAGAGTAAGAATCCCTTGGAAATCCACACGACCTAAGTTGGTGGGATACATAGTATTAAAAAGGGCTTAATTCTTAATTCTATTTCTTGGAAACCGCATTTTTTCCTGATAATGCAATAATAATGCATGTAAGCGTATTTAATTTGTTTAGGCTGCGATTCAATTAATTAATAGTCCGCAAAATAATATATTTTTCAAAAATACGCACACAGTTTATGGTTTTCTAGAAAAATCAAAACCGTTGCATTCAAATTAACCAGGTAATAATTTTCCACGATTCTGTTAAATTCACCGTAAAAAAAATTAGTTTCTGGCGATACTTAAATCGTGGCGTTCGTTCAATGCAGACCTTGACAGGATAACTCAACAACACGGAAAAACTTTCGTTACGTATCGATTCTCAAATGAAGTTTTCCATTTTATTTCTCACTGCAAAGTGTCAACTTAATTCTTATAACAAGTCGACGCGTTACCCTATGAAATGAGAATTCGAGCTGGCGCCGCTATACTTTTTTTATTTTACGCGAACGAAACAGGAAGCTTGCGGTTTTCTAAATATGACACCCAAAATAAAAAATATAAAAAAGTAAATATTGTAAGGCTACCGTCAAACCTTCAGACTATCGACAATTAATTGTTGCCTTGAAACAATATTGGAACAGTTTTTCAGAAATAATTCTACGCTGGACAAGAATGTCATAGTAGCAAAAAAAAAGATGAAACTCGACTACCCATTATCGTTTCGGATATTCTCAATTCTCGCAATAAAAGCATACTTATGTATAAATAATTTATCATATTTTGCTGTGGCTACTAAGCGTGCCATAAATATGTAATGTGTTTTGAGTTAAGTGGCCTCAAACCCTTATTATAAGTGGAGATGTCGATTAGTCAGTCAGTCTGGCTTCTGTTTACCGTCTGTGCTTTTGCGGATATATTGTATGCCGGAACCAACCTAAACTCTTACACACACATATATATAAATGTATCAACAATTATTTATTATCCCAAACGGTGAGGTGTGTGTACTTAACAAATTTATCTAGACTGTGGAGGATTATTCTAAAGCTAATCCATTATTAAACAAGAAAAATACAATTTCTTTAATCTTCTTTTAATTCTAATTTATTAAAGCCGTCGCAATGTTTGCTGAACTGATAAAAATATAGTTAAAATAAGTATTTTAATCCAGGCATACGCATATCTGTTGCGTTGGAGTATATTTTTAAAAAACGATAGAGCTGAAAATTCGTTATCGGTAATTTTTAAATATATTTGCTAAAAAGGGACAACGTTTATTTATACTTAATAAACCGAAATAATAATAATTTTTATTAATTGTGGATTGTGCATTTGCGTTTCCATTTTCCCGATAATCGGCTAATAACGCTGCTTTTCGGTCAATTGCGTTCAATCCAGCATAATTATATTTCCAGCCAGCGATAACTTTGACGTTGCCGTATCGATGGCGAGGTTATTCTAAAATAGCCTGTCAAAATAGAACTTTATTACGTTTACATAAACATAAATCGTTTAAATAAATGAACCGCATCAACTATAGCTAGCGACTTTGGCAATAGGCAATCGATTTAAGGCAACAGATAATTTTTTTACGATTCATTTAGGTAAAAGAAAAACTGCTTTCGATTAAAACATCTCAGACATTAAAGTTGCGCTAGCGGGTAACTCGGGAAACTCCCAATTAATATCAAAACAAAGTTATTTGTTGAGTGCGGTTGAAAACTTTGTAATGGATTTTGTTCTCACTGGAATAAAATGTAAATTCTCGGTGTTTCATTAAATATGAATAATTATCAAACTTAAACACGGTTAAGACTATTAAAACGCGTTGTTCTATTAACAAACAAATTCTAAGAAAATTATAAAATTTTATTTGAAGGGCTTTAAACTTACAGGAATATGGTGCTAATATAAATCCTAAATCAACAGGAGGTGTGTACACTGGTTTAGGTTGCAGACCAGGTAACAACAATGTGGTTGATAAATCTCTTTGAATACAAATACCTAAAAATACACATCCATATGCTTTTTTAATTTAAAATTACTTGTTACCTGTAACATGGAAATAAATTCAAATTAAAAGAAATTATGAATGACGATTGTCACTATAAAATAAAGTAAGTGTAATAAATAACTGTGATAAATCAATATGAGGTGGGTATTTGTACTGGCTCAGGTTACAAACCACGTTACATAATAAAGGAGATTAACAATATTGATTGTGAAAATTGACGCATCACTTTTAATAAAAGCAACTCCAAAATCCACATCCCTTTGTTCTTAGAAGGAAATCAACTAGGTACTCTTTACACTGCGAATCTCTTATGATGTATTTCTTTCTTTATATAAAATCGTTATCTGTAAGTAATCTGTAGTAATAAAACATATTTGTCCGTTGAAATATAATTTTACTTGTGACTGTACATGGAAATGAATGTCTTAATTGAACTCCAAAAATATCGTTTTTCATGTTTGAGCCTTCAGCAAACTTTCGATTAGAGTTACGGATCTTGGAACATTCAATTGCGTAATTCTTAAAGGATTTATTCAAGAGCGTTTATGGACGAAATGGAACATTTTAAAAATTCTATCAGAATTTACGAGCGAGCGGTAAGGGAAATGAAAATGAACAAACCTCAAAATATCGTTAATTCTACTCTCAATAACAAAACTGTTTCGGACCAAATTAAAAATTATTGCCACTTGGCTATTTTCCCTGGTTGTCATGGAATTATTTTGTGAGCTCCCCTAATTGTTTGGAGGTACATGGTTCTTCAAATCATTTTTTGATTGATTTGAATAATTATTTTACAGGCTACATATATGTTATTATTTTGTCGGTACTTAATTCTTGGAAGCCTTGAAGTATTACACTCTGAGAGACTATTGCAAATTAAAATTCTAAAATGGTTTTGAAAAGCTTAAAACTCTAGGTACGAGTCCTAGTATAAGCACCGGTATAACTATAAACTAGCTAAATATTGATAGTTTTGTCAGTATTTCTAATATCCACGAACGGCTCTGTCGTCGTGTTGGTTGGTGGGGGTAGTGTAGAGCAAACCGCGTATTGGTTCTAAACTGCTAAACTAAACTAAAGGTCCTAAACCTTGCTGTTTAATTAATTGAACTGAAATACTGTAAACTAGTTTTCTTTTTCAAAAGGCTTCTCGAAGTTACAGCTTTGATCGATGTGAGGACAAAAATATATCTACTCGCATATTGGTTTGACTGTTTGGTGGAATTTTAAGATTTCAAGGATTTAGAACAATAATATAATTATTGTCGGGCGCTTTGTTTGTTTTTTGTTCTCCTTTCTAATAACATTTTTTTATTTTTTTTTATATTTTGAGTGTTATTTTATTAATTAATATGTTTGTTTAGTATAACACAAAATAATATACCCAAGATAAAAATAAAAAGTTATTAGATGTAAAGACTAGTGAGTCACGAACTAGTGATTTTAATTTAATTTAATTTTTCAAGAACCGTTTACGAGACCAAAAAAATTCTTGAACCAGAAGAAGCAGAAGATACGGCTCTATAAACGTTTGACAATTTTTAAAATATACAGGGTGCGCCGCAAATTCAAAAAAGCTGATAAACGGGTCTTCCTATTTTCGAAAATTGGTTATAACTGAAAGACTATGATTAAGATATCACTTTCTTTTACATTGCGATATAGCCCGCATAGACAGCAAAAACTTTTGTATTTAAGGTTTTTCGCCTATTAGATAGGGTGTTCCCGATATTTCGTGCTAAATGAGAAATGTGTTAAGTGTCCTAAATTTGCAGATATCAATTTCAAATTTAGCAGAGAAGTAAAAGTCCGTGTCCACATCAGTAGAAATTGGACGCAATTAAATTTTACAGACTATTTTTTAAAAATGTTTTAACTTTTTTAATTTTAGCTCTCAGAAAAATATGTTTTCCTCCATAATCGTTCATCCGATTGGCAAAATTCTTAAATCGGCAGACGCAGAACATCCAGTGCAATAACATTTATTTCGGGCATAAATTATAGGCAAAAATCTAAAAGGCCTAGAAAATTGTTCTTTTATAGAGTAAATTATTTGCCGCAAATCAAAAATCGTAAAAAATATGGCTAGTTGGTTCAAACGGTGCTGTCAAGATGCGATGACGTCATTGATTATTACGGTACGCTGCATGTTTCAGAAAAAACTTATTTTCTCGAAAATAATTTGCTATTTTCAAAAAATTCTAGAACCAGGAAACGTGGAAAATCCAAGGCTATAACCTCTACTCTGAACAATGATTGAATCACATACAGGGTGTGTCGTTTATGGGCAACAAATCTAAAATATCCTAAAAATTTGTGAGTAAATTATTGGCGATAAATGAAAAACCGTTAAAGATAATATAATTTTATTTAAACAGAATCATAAACCGTGTCGTGAGAGAGTTTCAGGTTTCGTCAATTATACGGGGCGCGGAATATTTGAAAAAAATATCATTCGACAACGCTATTATTAACTTTGAAGTTCGACCAGATGTGAAGGATATTTTATACAGGGTGCATG